TCTCAATCTTTCAATAAAAAAAAAAGAAAAGAGAACACCCAATACCACCGCCTGTCCGTTGCCCTTATCAACATCGAAATTGAACTTGTATTTTGTATTTTCTACGATTTCCTCTCTCATTGTTTTTTCTCGGCTCCTTATCAGCGACAGCAACAGGCACAGCCAGCACCTCAAAAGCCAAAATAAATAAATAATAAATAAAATAATACTTATATGGGAATGTGCAGTGGCATTTGTGTGTGGCAACCGCAAACATTTCAAGTTCCTCTGCATTTCTTTCGCTTCTTATCTTTTTGCGGGCAACTGACCATTTTCATGGTTTTTGCTTTACTTTTATTTCATAACTTATTATTATTATTCCTAGTACTCCTAAATATAGGCACAAAACAGCAAAAATTCCTCATAGATATGCTGCGAGTATGATGTCAGGTTGGGGGGTCATCGTCATCAACAGACCAACAGACTTTGCCTCGTATTGTCGTCGCCAGGGGCATTATTCTGGTGGCATTATCTTGGTGTCTCCCCCTAATTGCTGGGTCCATTGTTTGCCCCAATTAGCAGGGGATCCAGCCACAAAGAACATTGGTTGGAAATGGATCTACCTAACAGTCACCATGTAATGGACTTAGTATTTACTCTTTAAAGTAATTACAGATAATTATTCAAAGATTATCCTTAAACCTTAAACCTTAAACAAACCTTAAGCAAACATCTATTTCATTTAATAATATTTCTCATATTAGTTAAGGGTGATTCAATAACTTAATAACTATATGAGTCATTAAATCTGAGCTTGAGCACAGATCATTAATTGTAAATATACGCTATTCGTTCAGTAATTAAGCTGTTAAATTCTACCCAATTGTATAACGCATTGTAATTGTATAATTTAAATGCAAAGTTAGTTAACACGCCACCTAAAATAAGATGTTTAAGTTGAAAGATTTATAGGTTATAAAATTAATATGAGATTTGACAGGTTTTAAGTATATAAAGTAATAAGTTAATTGTAGTTACTAATAATTATTTAACTTAACCCTCTCAAAGTAAAATATACTACATTTTATAAAGGTATACATATTACTTTAAAAAATTCGACACTAATTTTACTTTAAGTAACAAACAAATCCCAAAGTGAAACCTAGTTCGCATTGCCTATTTTTAGGCTGGGCTCAAATGATTCAAACAACTCATGATCTTGGCCATAGGCGCAGAGTCATCTGAGACCACAGAAATATGGCTATATTCTGGCCCCTGGGGGGTGGGAAGTTGAATGATATGGCAGAGTGGATGAGTCCTAAATTTGAATAGTCATGAAACTTTCTAGCCATGGTAAGAGGCTGTCTTTTTTTTCTTTGTGGCTCATGCCATTTAATTTATTATATTTTGCACGCTTTCTGGCAGACCCGATAAGCGTGTAGAATCTCAAGCACACGTGATAGGAACACTCGCCGTTCCACTCCTCGCCTGACAATCCATTTATATATTTTTGATTCTCTGATTTTCAAATTGTTCTGCCACTGATTTCCATAATCAAAAGAACCGCACACTATTGCAGTTTTTTGTTGGCCAACACATATACTCTTTTTTGTTGTTTCCGTTGCTCTTCAACGCTTTTTTGCCAGCAAAATCATATATTTTTTTGTGTATAAATGATTTTTACTACGCAGTTGAGTTGATGGAAGCGAACTAAAGCAAAAGTTGGCCACACACAGCTGTGGCAATTTTTGAAAAACAATATGCAATTTGCTACCGTAATATTTACTGACTCGAATAATAATACAGAAATATAACAATTAAGAAAAAAAAAAAAAAATAGAATAAGCTTTTTTGCACGCCATATAGAGCGTTCTAAATATGTCCAAATATATATTATAGAATATATCTGTTCATTTAGATAATGGTAAAAATAAACAATCAACTGGAAAGAGAAAGGAGTTGTACCAGCTGCCTTTTCGCTGGCAATAGAAAGTTCGTAACTCAAATGGTTCTTTGTTTACATTTCCACCTGTCCATATACATACATAGCACACTTGCAGATGCACATATAGAATCAAGTGAGGCTTGACGTAAGCAGAAGAGTTGATATATTCCAATTCAAATATAAACCGATGTGTGTTCAACCATTCGCAGTGCCTGATAAGCCTCAGGGAATGTTTGCAAAATCTTTGACGAGATTCAAATCAGGCCTGGAAATCCCCCGTACAGAAGCACACAGATGTGTGTGGCATGGGTTTTTTAAATATACGTTTCATTAATGTAAAGCTTGCAAATAGAATTGGGTTTCTATATACCTAACAAAAAGGGAAAAAGGTATTACATTAATATAAAATATAATGCATTTAATTATTATGAAACTATAATATAATCTTTGATAACTTCTCTGATTTATATAATTTCCAACTTCCTGCGATAACTTGTCTTGATCTTATGCGATATCTCTAGGTTATAATTGCTATTATGATAGCATTATCATCTCAACTTGGAGAGTAACTATATATGAGTTTTGAGATTCCACTTGAAAATGTCTATACAATTGTAAAAGTAAATGTATTTCGTAGAAAATGCAATTAAATTACCACTGCATTTAAAATTCCTATTATATTTAATGATTGATTATAATTAAATAAACTTCTTATGTGTTGGATCGCACTGTTTCTCCTTTTGTACAGATATGCATATATGCCAAATGGAGAGCTTTGCCGATGACAAGTTCCCCCATATCTTATCAATCGGCTCATTTCCGTTGCCAAAGTGTTTGCCACGTGTGGAGAGATTTTTTCCAGACCAAAACAATTTCACCAGGCACAATTTTTATTAGAACTTGGCCCCACTGTGCGCCAGCATCAGAATTCACGTGGGGCAGTATGAATTAATGTGTGTCTCTGGGCCCAGAAGAGAGTAAACATCATCAGCTCTCGAATGAGCAGGCGGTGAGAGAGATCTAATTCTAGTGATTCATTTGAAAAATGTGTGTTTTCGGATTGTTTTTCAGAAACATTTTCAATGTTTTTGTCTAGTTTCTGTTTTTACTTATTTGAAGGCCAGCAAAGGCAATGCTAAGGCTAAGCAAATTGTTGATACAGTTGTGCCGGCGCAAACTTGGCCAACAAGTGCCGGGTAATTGAAAGACTCGATGGCTTAGATCTTGTAAATGCCAGGCTTTGTCTATACATTTTTTATTATTTGGGACCGTCTTGGGGCTTTCTAAATTAGCCCTAAGCAACACAGCTTTTAGGAAATACATATTGTATTATTGTGTTCCCCCAAGACCCAAACAAGTTTCACTTTTCGCATCAATTTGCCTTGTTTTTTATTTTCCTGATTTCGGTTTTCAAAGTTTTGTTCGATTCGTTTAGAACTAGTTTTGGTAGGTAACTAACTAACTAAGTGCCCTCAGCACATGCTAATCAAACCACTTTCGGTTGATATTTTTTCCACAATAAAAATCAAAATCAAAAAAACCAAGCCCGACGTCAGCGAGGAATTTGCATAAAATACTTTAAGTAGATTCGAACTTCTGGCCGGGCTATAGATATATTTGGTTACCATTTTTGTTTGGATCCCAGATCTGGTTGTTGAGGCAGAATATACATATAATATATACATAAGCAGCTATTAAGAGTGACGGAGATTCAAGGCGAGCAGACAGTATTTCCGTATATTAGCATCGCATTTGTCTCTCGATTGCACAAAATCGGTGGCGACAAATTGCTTGCTGTCACCCAGGGCGTATACGTAATATACCGCACCAAGTGCATAACCGTAAATAACAAACAAAAAGACCACATATACTAAAGGGAAGAGATAACAAAATTGCAAAAATGAAAACAAAAAAAAAATAGTCTTCAAATCAGTGCAGAGAACAAATTCTTGTGCTTATTTTCGTTTTGAGAGTTGCAAGAAGTTTCTATACTTCACTCTGCGACTCCTGAAATGAAATCAGCTTATCAAAAATATATAGATGAGTAAGCACTCACTCGCTTTCTCACCTTTCTGGCTCTTATCACCTGCTCTTGTTTGTGTGTGCCATTAATTATGGCTGCTTCCTTCGGTAGCTGCTGAAGCTGATTAGAGCGGCCAACTTCTCGACTGTGGCAACAATGAAACTAATGGAAAGTTACGAAAGCTTCCCCAATTTCGAATAAAATAAATATTGCGTTTTAGGGTTTTTCCCCCTTTTTCACAACTATAAAATTACACAAAGTATGCATTTAGCCCTGACATTTATTTTACAAGCCAATATTTTTTATACAAGTTAAAAAACCAAAGGCTTTTCAATACCAAACTTAATATCATGTTTTGCCACAAGTCAACTTAAGATCGACTTAAAATTAGAATAAATCCTAAACTAGACATGTTATACCCAAATTAGTTTGATTCGAAACATGTTTAATAATATAGAAAAATATATCAATTTCTTGAGATCAAAAAGTAAACAATTTCCAAACCAGATATGTAAATATTTTTCTCAAACTGTAAAAGAAAACAGTCAATTTGAGCCCTTATCTTGAGTTGATTTCATGGCATTTTCACATCAGTTAAAGCGTAAAATTTGTATTTTGTGTATTAAAACAAAGAAATTATTAGTATAGCACGTAATGCTTGTGTGCTTGATTTTGACCTATTCAGGTGCCAAAGGTTCAATCAATTGCATAATATTGAATAATCTAAGATTACGTAGAAAGTGGAATGATCTCAATAATCAAGCATTCCATTATAAAGTGATCTTTTTTCATTTCAATAGGATTTAACAGATTTTAAAGATATAACTTAGAAGAAAATATATAATATATAAAAATAACAGCAGGTTTTAAAGAGTTTAACCGATTATCGTTACAAGAATGTTAGTCCTATACGTAAGATATTGTATAAATTTAGGTTGAGAACGAAAATCAAAAATTAAATAGAAATTTTCTCCAAAGTATAGTTATGTTAAATTTGTCGATTCTATATATAAAATATAAATAATATAAGATTAAATAATGCATCAGACTCACCTGCATTATGGGATATGCGACACGTCCTTTGCCGAACCGCTCTATAATCGTCAGCTTGGTGGAACTGGCCATAACTCCGGCTATGTTGGACGACGACAGGACCGGACGCGGTGGCGGCACGATGGGCACGAAGTCGCGATTCCTTTCGGCGAAGCTTCGATCGAACGAGTTCCGCCGATCGCTGTGGGAGCGTCTGTATGCCACGTGGTTACCATTGTTGCCCCCGGTGCTGGGCCCGCGACTCGATGTCGATCCCGATTGATATGCATTTACGGAGCCGTTGTACTGGGACACGCCCATATAGGACTTGGATTTGCGATACTGCTTGCCGGAGTAGACAGTTGGTTCCGGATAATTGAGATCACTGTAATTGCTGGCGGTCTCAGATCCGGAACTGGACGAGATGGTGGACACCGATGAGGAGGAAACAGAGGACGAGGCGGAGGCGGAGGAGGAGGAGGAGGATGTGGCGGTCACGGCGGTGATCAAACTGGAGATCATCGATGGCTTGGAGCATTTGGCACAGGGCACGGCCAAAGCCGCGGTCAGCAGCTCGGCGGGATTAATCTTGGCCACTGCAATATCCTGTGTGGCCGGTGTGTCCATAGTGATGCCACTGTTTGTGCTAATTGTGTTGCTACCACTTTTGTTATTAACATTTTTGTTGTTGCTGCTGTTGATGTTATTACTGTTGCTGTTGCTGTTGCTGTTGTTCCTGTAGTAGCTGGTGTCGCGTGGCAAAGATTGCAAGAAGATCTGTTGCCGCTGCGGCTTAGCTTTTTTGCTGCTGCGCTGTTGCTGCTGTTGCTGCTGCTGCTGAGGTTGTTGTTGTCCTTTGCCTGCATTCTTTTTGTTGGCCTTGGCATTCGAGCCTTTGTTGTTAGTCTTGTTGTTGGTTTTGTTGCTGACATTGGTGGTTATGTTGCCAGGATTGCTGACGTTGATTGTGTTGCCAATGTTGGTAGTGTTGCTTGTGTTGTTACTGCTGTTATTGCCCGCCGCCGGCAACATTGCCGCCTCTCGCTGCCTCTCCTTGTCCTTGTCCGCCTTCTTGCCACTCACCTTGTTTACCATTGTCTCTTTGTGCGCTGCTTTAACCTGGTTAACCGTTATCCGTCCTGCTGCTTTGGTTAGAGTTCCGTTAGTTTTCTCCGTTCTACGTTCCGTGCGCAATTGGCTTTTGGCTTCTGCTTGCGGTTTTGTTTTGTTGTTGTCTCTCACTCGATCACTGTGCTGCGTCTCTCACGGCACGGCGTTGCTTTCGTTTGCCTTTGCTCAGCTTTTTTCTATCTCACTCGCGCGCGCGCATTCGCTCTCGTTTTCGTTTTCGTTGGTGGAGCTTTTTTTTGTATTTCGTTTGTGCCACGTTTTGTTGTTGGCGCCGCGATTTTATATTTTGTATATTTCGCTTGCTGTTTGCGTTCTTCTTATTTTTATATTAAATGAGCTTTTGTTGTACCTTTTCAAATGTTTTTAATCACGAAATTCATTAATGTTGTTTCGGCTCGTTGTATTTGTTTTTTCTTTTTCACTTGCTAACACTTTTTAATTGCGTCTTTTTGGCGAACTTGCTATTCTTTTCGCTGTTGTTGTTGCTTTTGCTATCCCTTTTTGGATGACATTTACCGCAAGAGCGCAGCATCGTTGGGGAAGAGAAAGGTGAAGCAGATGAGAAGAACATGTAAAGAAATGGGAAGAGGAAACCGAATTAGTTATTGGTTATGTATTTGCACAATTGTTTTCCGCACTCGTTTAGGGCTTTGTTTATGTGTTCAAAAATGTTGATTTATTTTTATAAAGCCAGCAAATCGTTTAAAATATTGTTTCTAAACGCACATTCGATGCGATTGTATCGCTGTCCCTCTGTACATGTGTGTGTATGAGCCACTCTCTCTGTTTCTCTCTCGCGAACTAACGATTGCTTAGTTTTTATCACTTTTTTGTTTGCACTTTTTTTTTGATTAACTGCTGTGATTTCCTGAAGGAGCAGCAAAATGAAATTCCCCCCATTTCCAAACGCGCAATTTATATTACTTATTTGTTGCGTCCAAGCAAGAAAACAAAAACAAGAGTGCCGAAAAAAAACATTTATATCTATGCCTGTGTGTGTGGGTGTTTGGATGTACGTATAGTATGTGTGTTAGTATGTAAATGCTTGCCATTTGGCGGGCGCGTTCTCTCTTTCCCTCTCTTTCTATCCCCAACCCGATGATGTAAGTTTCGTTTCGGAATGTTTTATTTTATTTTTCACCGCTACTGTTTGTCTGTCGGTATGTACACATGTATGTGTGTCTGCGAAAAGTAAGCTGATCACAAGATCAATATACTTGCTGAGGTCTCATAAAAGTGCCTTCGCTAATTCGCCCATAAAAGCTATTTTATTGCCGCACACGACTTAATGCATTTGATGTATGTACATATATGTTTACAAACATTCTTACATACTTGTACAAAAAAAATAAACAAATACATACGTCAGGTAATATGGCTCCTTGATAAAATAAACAATTTCGATACTGTTAATGATCTGATATCAACTTTCACGTAACTTAGTGAATCAAACGCAGTATGAGAGAATATGGGAGAAATTTTAAACACTCGTAAAACGAGTTAATTACTTATCCAGAATTGTCGAACAGTAACCGATCTTGAACCGAAATATGATGGATGGTAATTATTAGCCTAACGAGCGCGCACATCATCACTTTTGAGCTTAAATTATTTGGGTATTCCCGCTTGTGTTAAATTGCTTTATTATTGCACTTTTGGGGACACAAAATAGACAAACAATATTTATAAAATACAATTGAGTGGTTTCAAAACTGTCTTTATCAACTCTATCAAAATTATAAGACTTGCCATAACCATATAATTAAAATTAAGAAAGAAATCTTGGAAGAAATATGTACATAAGCTATACAAAGTTCATCAAAGGTTAGAGAGTTCAACTGTTTCGTTTCTAAGAATCGTTACGTTTTATTTTCGACCAAAAATTTATTAAATTTATTTTATGTACTATAAAAATCTTATTTAATATTAAATAGTATTTAGGTATTTAGTTAGTAAATAATGGGGAGGATTTTGGGTTGAATAATATCTGATCTGAAGGTGTTTTCATCCACATATCTCTGGGTACACCGCCAAAAAATAGCGAAACCGGAAATGCCAGATGCCAAGACTAACCGCGAAAGTGGGCAGCGGGATCGGTCGGAAGAGGGGGGAGGTGAGTGTGTGTGTCTAGATTGTTATCCGCATTTCTGGTTTGCTTTTCATTTAGGCAGAATACAAAACCATGCGACACGATGCGATCGCAGAAATACAGACAACCGAACACCCGGCACACAACTGTGGTGCAGTCACGTAGCCCCACTAATTGAGGGAGATCAATAACGGCGATTGTGCCCGTTTATATGTGCTTATATTTACCTGAACAATTCGGACAGCTCGTGTGCCCCAAAAAAAGAAATCCACGCGGTAAGCGTCTCTTCTGTTTCTCTCAGTGCCGCAGAGCACACGTACTTGCTACTGTTCTTATTGGGGATATTCTTGAACCGAATCGAATCCTATCGTATCGAATGCAATATCTCTCTTGGTGGGGCTTTTCTGTTTAGAGAGCAGGCAAAACAAAAGAGTTATACACGGCACTGGGTAGTCGACATCGGTTATGGTATCGGTATCGGTATGCTATCGACGACGGGCAGCAGGGTGTGGGTGGAATTCACCGTTCCTTGGAACCGCTGGCAGCGCCTCACACGAAAAGCGTACGGCTGGCCAGGATGGCGATCGGTATCCGGTAATCGGTTTCGATTATGGTTTTGGATTGCTACGGTAACGTAGAAATCAAACCGTAAGTCTATTATTCAAATTTTTACTGACAACTAACTTCTGAGTTGCTCTTCTTTCTACCGTTTCTTTTGCGGCTTCTTGATTTTATGGGGGTTTACTTTAATACCGTTGCACTGCACGGATACACTTAAACAGACACTGCGAAACACTCACTCACACAGATGCACACGCGATATGGCGCTCACTTAACTCCCAACTTTTTTTCGATTTGATTTTGACTTTGAATTCGAATTTCAATTTCACTTTTTCGCTTGCCTCTTTATTTGCTTGTTTGATTTTCGTTATATTTCGTTTTTTTTCGGACCACGCGTTTCGGTTAGCGGAAGCTTGCCGAAAAGCTTCGAGAAATGTGGCGATCGTATTCGATGGGTTTCTGATTGGAGGCAAGGCGATTGCTTGATTTCTGATTTGATTACAGCTGCACTTGCTTGTCGCACCTGGCTCTCAGTTGGGAGGAGTTACTGTCACTGTCACTGTTGCAATTGCTTTTCTTTACTGTCTAACGGTGCCTGCTCAACACTCGATCGGTCTTCGGTTGGCGCTCGGCTATTCCTATATTCCTATATTCCCTGGGCTTTTTGGGGCTACTTGAGTGTCGAACATGTGACGAGCAACTAACTGGCGGCGCTGGCATAGCGGCACAGCGGAACGACAGCGTGAAGAGCAAAGCAGAAGACGAGAGCCAAGCGACGGTACAGCGGCAGCCGTAATCGCTACAGTGAAGCTTCGTTCCGGTGGCTCTTTTCGAAGATTCTCATAAAAAATTCAACTCACAGGTACATTATGTTACTAACTTTTCAAAATTTGTATTTAATATTTAAAACAAATTGAATATATTTCGCTTTTAGGTTCTTCTTCTAAATGCTTCACTGTTATTAGTGGGAGCAGAGGAGCGGCGCCGACGATTCTAGAGAGTACCAAACGAAACGTTTGCGAAACGGAATTAGCAACAACAATTAAGTCGGAAATGAGCAAAGCGCCTCCATTCTCAATCTCGCTCTGCCTCCGTCTCTCTCATTGCCTCCTTTTTCCAGCTCTTTCTTGTGGCCAAAAGCTTCGCTCGAGTGCTTCTTAGCTATTAGGTAGTAGGTCAAGAAATGGCTTGAAGCCATTGGTTTGCTTGAAGTTTTCACTTTTAAGCCTAGTTTTTTTCGGCTGATTTATCTGCGCTTCGAAGAGCGGCTAAGAGAGATAGAGGGAGATAGGAAAAAGCCCCACAACAAGCTTTTGTTCGATCACAATGGTGTAAATGTTGTTGTAATAAAATACCGGCCGGCAATTGAGAAAGCGCCGACCTTGCGCTCTCTCTCTCTTTCCCTGCCACTCACCAAGGGAAAGGTGGGCAGTGGGTGGGAGCGGGCGAGCAGTGAGAGGGTTGGGGTGGCAACCAAATGGCATGCTAATTAATCGTAAGCTTTCACGCCTTCTCTTTCTAGAAAGCTCCTTGGTCAAAACGAACGATCGACGTGTTATGACCATTTATGAATATGAATTATATAGGCATTAGTCAGGGGAATATAGCGTTATAATAAATCATATATGATATATCGCTCCATTATCGCTTTTTATATAATATTGGATATTAAAAATAAATAAATATACCGGAAAATATATCGATTACAGCTTCATAAAATTGATACCTTTTATTTTTGTCTTATTAAATTATTAAATTGTTACCAAAACTTGACAGTATAAGACTCTGATCAAATTATACAACTTATTTCATCAGTTTTAAATCCAACATAATAGTTAAACAACTAAATAGATGTACAACTTTAAAATTCTCAACACACTAATATGTACATTAATATTAAAATCTATTTAAATTCTTTTCCCATCTAGAGGATCCCCCTGACGATCCTTAAAGGACAAGTGCAACTGCCGGATGTTGGGGGATGCATCGGGATCACGATCACGTGACCAAGGCTGCAAAACTGCGACTAGAAATAAACGTTCGAGTGGCTAAAAATCACACTGTTGTGTGTGGGGCGGTACTACGGGCGGTATTTTTGGCTGTCGCCGCCCCAATATCGAAGCGACAAAACAAACCCAAAAATATCCACATTCACATCCACCAGTTGATGGTCCCGTAGTCATAGACATAGACCAAAATGCGATGCGTAGTAGCCGCCACGCGGCCAACGAGAAATTTCAATTATTTTGCCAAGCAAAATCGGGCATGGGTGTTGATATTATTTATAATACCTGCGTGAATCCACAGTAAACAAAAGTTTATCAAATGGGTTTCCTTGGGCCAGGTTTCACCAAACGCTTTAAGTTGTTATGTGTTACTTCTCTAACATCATTACGCAACTAATAATGAACAACTGAAAATCCAAATCGACTAAAAATTCCACACAATATTTACATTTTGTTTTATTCGTCATAAACTGCATATGACTCATAAAGTACAATATGTTTCCATTCAAAAACATTTCCATTCACAAAAGGAAAACCCCCTCAACTGGGAAGAAAGCTTTTCTGCTATGGGAAATATATTTAAAATAATACCAACAAAAGTTTTTTTTGACTGTGACTAAACTAAACGCCTCGTAAATAAAATCATTTTTAATTTTTCTGTAATAGTGAGGACTGTAATTTACCATTTTTGTTTTTGTTTTGTAATGTATATAATTTATGTATTTTTAATAAGATACAAATCTTTAAGTATTTAAAACCGAACTGAAATTAATAAAGCTTTGCAGCATACGAGCAAAGAACATGTTTATAAGCAGTTCATAAGTATGAGTACAACTTTTTGTTGCCAGCAACAGCAGCTTAGCAACATGTTCGCAAAGCAACATTTAGAGAAACGCAAATTAATTTAAATTTTAAATTAAAATTAGTGTATATTTCATGTATTTTGCTTCATTACGAAATTAATAAAATATTTATACATTGCATCTATATATTCATTCTCTTTACTGGTAGTTTAAAAGCTCGCAAAACACTAAAGTAAAATATATTTGTTAATTTTTAGAGCATACTCTTGCGGGCAAATATTTCATCATCAGATTTGTTAGAAAATTGTATAAAACTCTTTGCATGTATTTTCTAAATTCCATCTTAAATAAAACGCTTTGCATATATAGCTCCTGCGGCCAGGATCAAGCCGAATAGAGTGGCACCGGAAACACGCTTTAGCAGCTGATCCTGCCACTTCCGGTTGGCAATGCACTGACTGTAAGGCATACTGGAAAAGGACACGCTATTGTAGAGCGGTATCCAGCCGGGAAATAGACGGAAGAGCATCGTATCCAGCCACTTTCGGAGCCGGAAGGACCAGCGTTTGGTCAAGTCACGCATCTGCAATAAAACGGAAGTAAAATTAATTAAGGATAACTTTTACTTCCTTCCCCTAATATTACTCACCTCCACATAGTTGTACATGGCCAGATCACAAATGGCAAAGGCATCCTGCCAGCGAGATTCGGTGAACTGGGCCAGTGCCTGGTCCAGCGGCAATTGCTTGTCCAGAATTCCGGTGAGCAGCGTTACATCCTCCATTCCAGCGTTCATTCCCTGGCCATAGTACGGAACCATGGCATGAGCGGCATCGCCCAGGATCAGAGCCTTGTCCGCATAGTGATAGGGTCGGCACTTGATGGACACCAGATGCTGTGGCCGTGTCTTAAAGAAGTCCTTGATGAGCTGCTCCTCTCCGATGAGCGGCAGGGCATCCTGGAAGTTTTTCCTAAAGAAATCCAAGAGTTGCTCCTTGCTCTGAATTGTGGCGAAGACCTCAAATGGCATGGAAAGGGTGACGGTGAAAGACTTGTCCTGATTGGGCAGCGCAATCATCATGAAGGAGTCACGTGGCCAAATGTGTAGGTAATTGGCAGGCATCTGAAAGTCACCCAATTTGGAGGGAATACACAGTTCCAAATATCCGGTTTCGATGTACTCCTGGGAGTAGTTAAAGCCCGGCAGGCGGACCAATTGCTGTCGAACACTGCTAAAGGCACCATCACAGCCCACAATCAGGTCCGCACCGGCAGATATAACCTCATCTTTGGGATTCCGGAACTCCATGGAACCCTCGCGAAGATTGGCCGCCGTCAGCTTGTGCTCAAAGTGACACTGGATATTCGGGAACTTATCGCAGGCGTCCAAAAGGACCTCGTTTAGCTGCCGGCGACCCACAGAGTATAGGCACTGATTGTTGCAAGGATCATACAGGACCACGCTGGTAATACCTTTGATATTGTGCAGCATGCGGCCCCTCATGGGTATGGCAGTGGCCAGGACCTTTTCCTCCAGACCCACGGCTGCCAGAGCCCGGCGACCTCGCTGAGACAATGCCAAGTTGATGCTCCTGCCCTGAACCACCAACGCATGCCGGATATCCTCGCGGTACTCGTACAAATCCACGTGGTTACCCATGCGGGCAAAGTTTAGGGCCGCCAAAGAGCCCACCTTTTGGGAGAAAAGAGATAAAAGGAGGAGAAAGTGAAAAATCTTAGCTCGATAAGAGAGTGCTATCTGAGAAGCGGGGGATTAAGGAACCCCAAAGATAAAGAGCGTCTAGATAAGTGCACATAACTACATATGTGGTATCTAAAAGAGCAATTGTCAATAAACCAAGAGGGAATATGGTATAATTATCGTAAAAATTACTTTAGGACTTAGGAATGATTATATTTTAAAGATATCTTAGTGAATTTTATTCGGAACCTCATTCGAAACATTACCAATATTTCTTTAATGATTTAGAATTTACACTTCAACTTACCAATCCAGCTCCCACGATCGCCACCCTGCGCCTCCGTCGATCATCTCCAGCCTCCTGGCGACCGTTCGCGTCCGTTAAGATGGCTCCTTGGCTCATGACCGTTCTTTTAGCGTGTCGCCAGCAAAATGAAGTGAGATTGAAGCCAGCCAAATGGCTGGGGAAATTTCTAACCCAAAGATTATGTCGGATGGGCAAGTAAATGCTATCTGTGGTTGTTTGATGTAGCTGCGGGAAGCCAAGCAAATGCAGGGGCGTAGCCCCCATTTCTTGGAGGGGGAATTACCATAGCATGTAGTACATTGTTCTTAGACAATACAACATTCATTGAACAAATCTAGCAAGAGAGCTATAGTTGAGTGGGCTGGGCTTAGAGATACCCACACTCAGAAACCTTGTGCGGATGCCCTAACCTTTGAGCGGACACTATGTTAATCTATATGTTTTTGAAGTAGGCTCATTAAATGTGTTTTTGTTTCAGATTTTCGGTGCTCGTCATAGAGATGAACTAAATACAGTGAGCTTAAAATAAGACTGATAGCATAATTCATGCTTTTAAGGTTTAATTAATAAAAATGTTTTATTTATTTTCAACAATAATTAAAAAATTATACTAATTTTCCCAACAAACAGTATAAAATAAATTTTTTTATGTCTTTTAATGAATTTCCTTTCCTCTTTCTTAATTTTACTTCTTTAAAAGATATGGAAAAATTAATTTCAAAATGCACTTACTTATGGAAAGAAAAATCAATTCCTTGAAAACGAAAACATTTAATGTTGATAATTTAAAAAGAGCGCCAATTCTTTCATTGCGCCTGAACTTAAACAGCTGTTTTTTGTTTTGGTTCCTTTCACAATAACTCAATCTTGCAACTATCGATAACATCATGTTCATCCCTATTAAAGTTATTTAACGACAGTTTTCTTTGCTTAAACTACAAAATAACAACAAATAATAATAAAGATAAGTGTTTTGTTGAAGAACTGAGGTATGAGATAAATAGAGTATTTTTTAATTTTAAAACTATATTTATAAAGGCAATAAAATTGAAACGAAAAGTTAATATTTTCCCATCATCCTTAAGTTAATACCTTTTTCAAATAGTAATATTAATAACAATATGTATTTATATTTCCTCATAAAAAAAACACATTTTATAAATAATTTTTAGCTAGATTAATATTAAAACTAACTATTTTGAAGCTATAAGCTAGTTGCTAGCTGTATAAGCTTTTGCATTGCCGAAAATAAGCTAAACTGGCAACATTGTGCTAATAAAGTTATTTAACGGATGAAGCTTTTGCGAGAACTTGGTGTTTTTATCTTCGCTGTGATTTTCGCCCGCGCTGTTGTTACCGCTGTCAGCTGTCCACTTGCGCGCACTTTGGAAAGCGTTGACTGCGAAAGGAAGGGTCGTTGGCGTGAGCAAGCGAGGCGAGTCACTCTGAATTGCCGCTGGCGCTGTGGAAAAATCAATTCAGGCGGGCTCAGGCACCTCACCTTTGGCGACCGGCAGCGATAACAGGCCGGAATCATGGCTACGGGAACGTTCGACTCCTGGGATGCGGCCGTCCTGATTAGTATCCTGGTGATCTCGGCGCTAATTGGCATCTACTACCGCTACACGGGCGGCAAGCAGAAGACCACGCAGGAGTACCTGATGGCCAACCAGAGCATGACCACCTTCCCGGTATCCTTCAGCCTGATGGCCAGCTTCATGTCCGCCATCTCGCTGATGGGAGTCTCCAACGAATCATACCAATTCGGTACCATGTTCTGTGTGATAAACATTGCCTATTGGATAAGCACACCGATCGCGGCCTATGTGTTTCTGCCAGTGTTCTACCGAATGCGAACCACCAGTGTTTACGAGTACCTGGAACGGCGCTTTGGTCAGGCCACGCGTCTGTCCGCCTCTCTGGCCTTCGCCATCCAAATGGTGCTCTACATGGGCATTGCTCTGTATGCACCGGCTCTGGCGCTGGAGGCCGTAACTGGAATACCACGGACGGCAGCCATTCTGGTCATTGGGCTGGTGTGCACCTTCTACTCCACGTTGGGCGGCCTAAAGGCAGTCCTCATCACGGATGTATTTCAATCGTTCCTGATGTTCGCAGCCATCTATGCCGTGATTGCTGTGTCGGCGATTAAGGCCGGAGGCTTTGCGGTCATTTGGGAGGTGGCTGTGGAGCGTGGACGGGTTCAGTTCGACGACTTTTCGCTGGATCCAACCGTGAGGCACACCTGGTGGTCACTCATCATTGGCGGCATGGTCACCTATCTGTCTCTGTATGGCGTTAACCAGACGCAGATTCAGCGACTTTTGAGTGTACGCAATCTGAAGAGTGCTCAGTCGGCATTGTGGTGGAACCTGCCCATTCTGGGACTCTTGAGCTTCAGCACCATCTTTAGCGGCCTGGCCATTTTCTACTACTATCGAGACTGTGATCCCCTGCTGGAGGGGCGCATCAAATCTCGCGACCAGCTGATGCCGCTGTTCGCTGTGGACACGATGGGTAAGTGAGGGGGAACCCCAGTCGGGTTAGTTTATCATATGCTAAGTTCCCGTTCTTTCTACAGGTCAATACCCCGGCCTATGCGGTCTGTTTGTATCCGGTATTTTCTCCGCCAGTCTGTCGACGATTTCATCGGCAGTCACCTCTCTATCGGCCGTGACGCTAGAGGATTATCTGAAGCCATTGTACAAGGCGATATTCAAGAGAACACTCATTGACTCCCAGTCAACGCTGCCCACCAAAGTGATGGCCTTCCTCTTTGGCCTGCTGTGCATTGGACTGGCCTTTGGAGCTGGATCTCTGGGCGGCGTCCTGCAGGCCTCGCTCACCATCTTCGGAGTTGTGGGCGGACCGCTGCTGGCCCTCTTCAGCCTGGGTGTTTGCACGACGCGTACAAACCAGCGGGGCGCTCTGCTGGGCTTCCTGGTGTCCCTAATTATCTCCTTCTGGATCGGTTTCGGTGGACCCAAGCCCAGTTCCGTTCCCCTGAGCTTCAGCATGTCGGGCTGTGAAAATGCCACAGCTCTGGCTGCCCAAGCCCTCCAGCTGAGTGCAAACAGCAGCCCGGTGGTCATCGAACCGCACTACTTCTGGCTGTATCGCCTCTCCTATATGTGGAGCTGTGTAATCGGCTTTATCGTTGCTGTATTCGTCGGCTATGTGGGCAGCATAGTGCTGGCGCACTTTGGATGGGCTGAGAACTCTGAAATCTACTTGGACAAGTATCAGAATCAGCTGGACTACGACCTCTTCGCACCTATTCTGTCGCGTCGCTGGCGGCGCCAGGCGGAGAGCAGACAACACCTAACAACAACTCAGGATGAAGCACTGACCAAACTCACGCGGCAGTAGAAGTTCCTCGGAATTATAAATCTAGAATTAGTGTATATTTATATGAAGAGCAAAGAATTTCCAGGAGACTTTCTGCTTTTTACGGATGTCGTACCTAAAAAGTGCATAACAATGTGACCTTTTTGTATACCTGTGTGAACGAAGCTGGCATATACAGTGGTCAGTTCGACCAAAACAGAGTCTTCCATATTTATAAACGCAACGATAATTATCACATGTTCACAAGAAAATCATTAAACATACCTCGTAGGCATAGTTAAATTGAATGTTATACTTGTATTTTATGAGGTTTTGGGGTTTTCCCACTCAGACAATAAATTATTTAGGAAAAATAATCATCCCATTGTTCAGCATTGACAGCCACAATGCTAGACAAAAAATTTTAGATTTCTGTAGCTTAGATTAATTAAAACAACACTTTCATGTTTAACCTTAGCTAATATTTTAATAATAAGTTACATGATATTTTGGTATTGTTCCATAAAAAGCATTTTTTATTTCACATAATACACAGCTGTCGAGGTCAGGAGAAGGCTTTAAATATAAACTACAGTGGAAACTCCTATTAATAGTTGCACTGCGCCACATTGTGAACTGTTTTCATCTATATACCTATTATATATATGTTAGATTCTATATATGTATGTACATGATGTGTGACGCAATCAGCTATTGAACTATAAAGTTTTATTGACTATAAAGTTACATGTGTTTGTTAAAAAAAGCAACTGCTGACAATTAAAGAGAAACTTTTGTGATTGGCAAAAACAGAGGTTTTAATTATACAATTGCAATGAAAGCGTAAAGCTGAAATAAGAGCTGTGCTTTGGTTACCTAGAAATCGCGATTAGAGCCCCGAGAACTTCCTCCGTTCTCCGATAAGCAAATTCGTACGCTATCAGCTAAGGTTGTGCGAGCCTCTCCCCCGATGAGGAATCTATTTTGGAATGAATGCTATAACTATTGTGCGTTTACCTTTTCCCATTTGACTATTACGCCATGCGGGCACAAAGTCTAATTGAGACAGCAAATTGCTTAAAATTGGAAAAGCTATAGGTCAATATTCGAATCGGTTTGTGTGTGGTTTGGCTGTAAACAAATGCCAATTGAAATATGTAGTAACATCAGCCATCGTTAATGAAACTTGTCTACATATACATTTCTTTGACTCGTGGCTGTGGAAAGTTTTCTCTGATCGAAGAGGGTTCAAAGTACCAATGGACTCTGATGACACACATTTTTTCGGCTAACGTTCTGGCGAAAGAAGAGCCCTAAGAAAACGAGTTTAAACGACTTTCAGTTGCTCTGCTTTGACAAATATTATTATAAATCTGTTTATATATCCGGAATTATAATAGTACAACCAACCGCTAGCTTTATATAAATAAATAAATAAATAATAGTACGATTATTCACTTACAGAATTTATAAAACATACAATATAAGACTAGTGTTAATTAGGGTCCAAAAATGTTCTTCCATACCCAATACCTGCTGTTGACGATGATTCGGCACAAATCGCTTGGTTTATTTACTATCATTTGCCGGCCAATTCTGCACCGCCAAGCGATAAATTAAGCAATTCGTTAGCATTTCATGGCAGAAGCTTTTACAGATAGTCATCCAATATATAATAGTTGGACGACTTGAGGGGGCTCTCTGTTACTGCCATTATTCATCCATGCTGTTTTTGTTGTGCTCCCTCACGAACTCCAGAAACACATCCTCGAGACCTGTATGGCTGACTGAATAGTGCATTATCTGCAGATCAGTTTTGACATCTTCCATATAGGCAAAAATATCCGACCAGCTTATACTTTCCTTGGGTAAGACGAAGGTTATCATTCCTCGAAAAGAGTACTTCTCGCTGTGGAAATAAAAAATTATAGAAATTAGATGGGAGTGCTACAAAGTGAATAGTTTATTGCTGCTGCTTTTCTTTGTGCATTGCATGAAAAGCGGGGAAATAGGAGTATGTGCACAAATATAAAATGTTAGTAAAATCAAATGATATTTTCTATACGAGAAAAAGAAAATATACATAAGATATTTAGTTAAAGCTAGTGCAACTATTTGTTTTTTACCCTTATTTACATACGTTACGATACTGTATGGATGATCCTCCAAAAACCAATCCTCTACGTCATTCAACAGGGTCTCGTAATCCTCACGGATGTCCGTTTCGGAGCTTGTTGATTTATCGAAATCATCGTCCATTGAGAATTGCATTATAGAAAACTTGAGGGATGCCAGAGTTGATCGCGAGGTAGGCGACAGCCCCTCCCTGGTGCGATGTGTGAGTCGACCAGACTCGGCCCTCAATATATTCAGTTCTGCCCTTGTGCCCACCTTGATTTTGACAAAGATACCTTTATCGAAGCGGGACCTGAGGCGCGACAAAGTTCCATAGCAGAGAAGTGTTCCGCGGTCCAGGATGCCCAAATTGGTGGCCATAATCTCACACTCTTCCATGCTGTTCGTGGTCAGAAAGATGGCAAGACCCCCTTTCCGTAGGCTCTCCAAAATATCCCAGATCTCGTACTTGGCATACATGTCCACTCCGGCGGTGGGCTCATCTAGACAAAGCAACGTCGGCGCCAGTGCAGCCACTGCTATCATTAGCTTCCGCTTGGTGCCGTTGCTATAAGTTCTAATTGGTTTGTCCATGTGGATGGTGAGGCTGAAGCTGTCAGCTAATGACTTGATTACCATATGGATGTGACTCTGCCGAATCCCATTGATCAAGCAAAAGAAACGAAGCGTTTCCCAGCCAGTCATGTACGGTGACAGCATATCCTCGTGTGGACAGAAGCCCAAGTGCCTTAGCCCCTGCTTGGAACGAGTCTTGATGCTGCAGCCCTTGATGTGGAGGGTGCCCACCGTAAGTGCTCTCTTGCCCACAATCATGTAGAAGGTGCTTGACTTTCCAGCCCCATTCCGGCCCACCAAGCACACACACTCGAAGCTAGAAGAAAGTAAAATGGAATCGTAAGTGCATATACCTAGATGTGAACAAATCATTCTTCACTTACGGGTTTATATCGAGCGTTAGAGCGCGAACAGCTACAACGTCGCCGTAGCGTTTGGACACATTCTTCATGATAAGGGGAAAACTTTTGAAATTCTTTGTGGTGATTAAGTCCAACCTTTGTCGAATTCGGTTCACTTCTACATCCTCATCCTCGATGGCTGGATATATTTTTTCGTTCCTGACCGACCTGGATAACGATATTAAGTTAGTTGGGGTTAAAAATATGTGATACGGACTCAACTTAAAAACGTAATTGATCCGACGCGGAATCCACGACAGAAGGACCATAATGAGATACACCATTCCGCTTATTAGCATACACTTAATCTCCACAATGTTGTAATAATCATTAATATCGGTAGTCAATAAGTTTCCTGGCCCTTTTAAGGTATGCAAAACAGTCAGGGTGTCTTCTGTGTAGACTATATCTTGAACCCCATTAAATAACGCATAGTGAGGATGAGCCCTGAGTACATATTCGAAGATTTTGTAGCGATCTACATCTTTGTGGGGATGAATAAAGAAGGAAAGCACACCTGTAAATGTATCAAATAATTATAATGTGAATAACAGGAGTCGACTCGATGGATACTTACCTATCATATTCACATACATCATAATGCTGAACATCTTACCCAAGTCATTGGAGAGAAGGCAAACCAGATAGGTGAAGGATATGACCGAAAAGCCAAAGGAGAGCAGTAAAAGCGCTATAGGCCCCATTGTGCCCCGAGCAATTTCTGCGAGTATTATTAGCATCGGGATCATCGTAATATATACACAAAAGTCCCAGAACAGGTGGGACAGCCAGTAGGTAAACCGGGTCATGCCGCTGGCTAGCTGTTGATGCTGCAGGCTCGTATGTCGCTCCATCACCGGCATCACAGCGAAAATGGCAGTGACCACGACGAGATAAAACATCACCGTGAATGCAAAGTCAATGTAGCTGGTTCGGCTTAGTGCGCGCGCTGCCTCTATAATTGTACCCATATGTGGCTTGTTCACAATTTCGATTTTTAGCTGTGCCAGCGCCAAGGCCAGGGTCTCGTATACCAGGCCCAAGCTCAGGGCCGAGCCGACCTCCAGCTTCTTGTTCGCCCAGGCGACAATAGACCTATTAACTTGATCGATTGTAACGCCGGCCGCTATTTTTCGATAGTAATTCATCTCATCCTTTTTTATCTGTTGTATGATATAGTCACCAAGGGGAACGCCCTCTGTGCTCTTAGTTCTGACGCCGTGTAGCAGACCATTCCGGGTATACACGTCTGATATGGCATCGTTTTCCTTTGACTCAAGCACCAAGATCACAGAGGAATTGGAGATGCTCGTGATTTTTATCTCGTTAGGAGTTTCGTCAAACAACAAGATGAAGAGCTCAAATATGATAAGCACCGAGGCGATGAAGATCGGCATCAAGATGATTAGAAAGTACAGACGACGGTGTCGGCACATAAAGATAATTTTACGTTCAATGATGGCCCAACACTGATTGCAGCATTTCACGTTGTAGTCGTCCTCACGCACCTCAAAGCTGGGCAGAAGATCTGTGGGTGCCAACAACAAAGAATTTCCAGCTTAAGGATCATTGAAAAGAATAAAACTACTCACTGATCAGCGACGTCATGGGCGATGCGTGCAATTGTCCTTCATTATAGAGAACAGACTCCCGCGTGTTCTTCAACTCCACACCAATGCGTAGAAAGATGTCACCCAGCGTGGGAGCCCTCACACTAAACTCCTTGATCAGCAGATCATCGATAGCCTGATCCAACTCCAAGAACAGTTGTGAGTAACGGCCAACATGCCTGGCCGGTAGTTTGTAAGTCACGTAAATGCCGTACTCCTGAAACAGCTGGATGTCCGGGAAGCGGATTTGCAAGAAGTGCGATACCTCTGCGACCAAGCAGGTGTCTCTTTTGGTACAGATCAGAACGTAAGCCGCACCCGAGTCCGCGATCTGGGTGAGAAAACCGGGTGTGCCGTAGCCTTTCACCTCGCCACCGCACAGGACGACAACTCGATCCGCCACCACTTCGGCCTCAAGCATGTTGTGGGTAGACATTATGATGCAACGTTCCTTTCGCTCCCTTCGCAGCATGTCCCACATTTCGCGACGCAGCAGCGGATCCATGCTGGTGCCGGGCTCATCCAGAAGGACAACCTGTACTTGGTAAGGATTAATATAAGCTCGGAGGTAAAAAAACAATGATTATCAAACCGCCGGACGCCCGCACAGGGTACAGCATAGCGCTAACATTCGCTTGTAACCGCTTGACAGTTGATTGACCGCTTTCTTTGCATGTTCCTCCATGTGAGCGATCTCCAGATACTTGTCCGCCTCTGCCGAGGCCTGTTTTCGATTCATTCCCTGCAACCGGCAATAGAACTTTATGTGCCACCTGACATTCAGCTTATCGAAGAACATGTTCTCCTGCGGACATAGACTCATCGAGCGCAGCGCCTTACGATCCTGAGTGGTCAGGTCAAAGCCATTGATTATGATGTGACCTCCGTCGGGCTCTTCCATCCCGGCAAGCATTTTGAAGATTGTTGTCTTTCCCGAATCGTTGTGCCCCAGAAACACGGTGATTTCATCCTGATAGAAGTTTAAGCTGACATCACTGATGGCTTTCTGGCCGTTGTAGATTTTCGTTAGGTTCCTGGTCTGGATAATGATGGAACGGTTCCTGTGAGACAATGGCTCGTGATCCTGTTCCGCGTGAAAATCCTGACCCTCAATGTCATTCAAATTTCGCACCCTCCGCGGGCACCAAAAGGAGGACTGAAATAGAAAGTACCACTTTCTGCCCTTCACGCTCTTCAGTTCCTCCACGTACCACAGGATGAGGATGCGCAGCACCGTGCCCAGCAGCATGATGACCATTATGGTGCCCAATGATATCGCGTCACTTGGATCTGTTTTCGTAAATATCATATTCCACTGCATGCCCATAAAGAAGTTCTCGTGCTCAATAAACTCCTGCAGACCCATGGCAAGTGAGCTGTTCAGAAACAGGCACGCGATATAGACCCGGTTGGCGGTGGCTTGGTAACCCAACACCATGAGACGCCAGGGCAGCCAGCTAATCATGTGGAGGAACAGGATAGTCATCTGAACGCCAATGCTGTCCGAGAATATGGCGGTTATCATGAGGGCCGACGACAGGAGCTCGATTACGTAGACGCACATGAAGAACAGGACCAGGAACAAATTGCTCATCCGATAGAAGCGCCACTTGAGCAGGAACACCAGAAAAATGGTTGGCCCCAAGAAGAGGAGAAAGGCCACAATGAACCAAGAGAGCCAGTGCACCCACCCTCGCACTTGCATTAGCCGCATCATGGCCCACATCTGCTTATCCTCAATGATTACCTAAAATTTAAAATACAGATTCTGCAAACACTGGAACCCAACGGAAGATATATATAAGCTACCTGTGCCAGATAAGCCGAGGATATAGCGAAGGGCAGAAAGAGAAACCCGGTTAGAGCCACTCGCGACTCGGTGAATGTGCCCTCCATGCGATCGGGTTGGGGAAAGTACTTCAGTTTCACCTCCGGCAGGACGACGTTCTCTCTCTTGGCCCTAATCAGAGCCTCGCTCAGCTTGACCTGAACCATCAGGAATGACTCGACCAAATAGTAATCGGTTCCCAGATACATGCTCTTGTAATACATCCTTTTGTCCCAGCGCATCTTCGGGATGGCGCGTAGGTGCATTGGGTAGCGCAAGGCCACCGACACCTTGTCCGGCATCGAGGTAATCCGATTAAACGAGTCTTCGAACTCAATTCCCACGAAGGCAGGCTCCGCGATGAGGGCACGCTCCAGCATGGCCGCAGAGGCAAAGCCCTTGGTGTGCTTGGTCCTTACTTCGCGGGCCACATCCTCGATGATTTCGTCGACAACACGACTCGTGGGCGAGTAGTAAATGTTTCTAATTCGTTTTGGGCAATTGGTGTCAAGGAGAAGGCCTGGATTAGTATGGCAGTCCCAGAGCTGTTCGCTCTAGGCATAAACATATAATACATACAGCACTTTAGTTGTAAAATTGACCGTCGGATATGTCCTCTGCGGATCTTGGTGCGACTCCGGGAGGACAGCCGTGGCCGAGTAGATGAAGAATACAAGGATAGGACCGACTATGATGATCACGCTGGTCAAAGTGTTGGCCAGCTGGAACTTGACCGTCTTGCAGATGATCAGCCATAGGACACAGACGCTGCTCTGGGTCCGTGGCGGCGACGGCGGGCCACCGGATGGATTTGACGAAGACATAATACAATAATTTCAAATGGCGCACGCACAAACACAGTCTAAATACAACAAACTTCACATACATATATACTCCGCACTAAAACGTTCCGGTTTCCGTGTTTTCTTTTATTTTGATGTTGAAGTAAAAGTTAAAGTAGAGTCGGCAATCCGGCAGGGAACGTTGCAGCAGCTTACTTCTTCTTGGACACACCAACGGTGCGACCACGACGACCGGTGGTCTTGGTGTGCTGGCCACGGACACGCAGGCCCCAGTAGTGACGCAGACCGCGGTGGGAGCGGATCTTCTTCAGACGCTCCAGATCGTCACGCAGCTTCGAGTCCAAGTTGGAGGAGGTCAGCTGCCAGTACTTGCCGTCGATGATGTCCTTCTGCCTGTTGAGGAACCAGTTGGGCACCTTGTACTGCAGGGGGTTTGAGATGATGGTCACCACCTTGTCGACCTGCAAATGCATTGGGAAATTCGGAATCAGTGCCTGCCGGCCGGGGATACAACAAAGTCTGAACGTACCTCCTCCTCGGTGCACTCACCGGCGCGCTTGGTCAGATCGACATCGGCCTTCTTCAGCACAATGTTGGAGTAGCGACGACCCACACCCTTGATGGCGGTCATGGCGATGCCGACCTTGCGCTTGCCATCGATGTTCGTATTCATGATACGCAGGATGTGCTGGAACTTCTCTGGGATGACGAGCGACTGCAAAACACCGAGACATGATAGGCCGATTTAGTACATTTCAAAACAAACGATTTTCGCATCGGTTTTTTGCATTTTCGCAACAAAGCGTCCCGCGCATATTTCCCCCATCGCGCACTTTATGCTGTGGGGCATGCATTTTCGTTGCATTTCGACGCTTTTGTTGTTCGATGCACTGAAAATTAGTCGACGAACCATTTTGCCGTTTGTATGGGACAAATTATCGGAAAGAAAGAAACAGGAAGCGGCCCTGACGTTTAGAGCTGCACCTTCGATTTTACTATCGATTGCTATATATATCGATATCTCGATTTCTCAACATTGTTTTAACAAGTTCTCACTGTCCAAATTTTTACATTTTCAGCTCTTTTATTTATTCCTTTTGTTTTGCAAGAATTTTTGTTGGAATTTCTATTTGAATAGGTAAACAATAACATAGGTTTCACTTCAGAAAAAATAATATTAATATAAATAATAAAATAAATTAAATAAACACTATATAAAGGTATATATTAAGCTATTCAAAACAATTTGGTGCTATTTTCAGCTAAATCATGGAAAGATTAATTTACTATATTCCACGGCGGAATTTTATGCCCCTCCCCCACAAACAAAATCAACGCTTACTTTTACAAAAATCTTACACCCTTAAATAAACGCGTGCAAGCTTGCACGGTATCTCAAACGATAGGGCAAAATATTCTATAATTTTGAATTAAGTCTCTATTAAATCTTATCCAAAGATTTTTAGAAATTAGCGTTTTCTTTTTCCGATCTCATTCACAAACACTGGCTTCATATCGATAGGGGCGCCTCCCACACCCTATCGATGAATAAATAGCCCGCCATTTATTTTCATAAATGTTCTTACGAAGAATAAATATACCTGGCAGCACTGCTTGCCTAAAATTAAGTCAATTTGATTTAAGCTTTATTATAAAACTTATTCACACTTGAAATCGTACCATTAACGGGATCGCAATTCTGAACAATTTGATCCACGTTTCGTCAAAATCCGTTCAGTCGTTCAAAAGAAATCCCGAGTTTTTCATTTATTTCCATTTATGTACCGGTGAAAATGTGATTTAAACTTAATGGTAGGACGTATGTATACAAAAGCAATAAAGGGTATCGCAGTTCTGAACATTTTAATCCATTATATACTAGTTAGAGTATATAAAAGACTAACTGCAAAGTTTTATTTTATTTAAATATGAGGGTCTATTTTGTTTATTATTGGACAGATAGACAGATGGACAGGCTAGATAGACTCGGCTGTTGATGCTGATCAAGAATATATATACTTTATAGGATCGGAAATAATTTATTCACTGCGTTGCAAATTTTTGACCTGAAATCATATGACAAAACAAGGGCATTGAAGCACTAGATTTGAGAAGCAAATTTTCGAAATAACATTGAATAGTCTGCCCAATAAATGATATCGTTATTCTAAGCAATTTGGTAGGTGTTTCATCGAAATCCGTTCAGTAGTTTTGGAGAAATTAACATTTAAATTTCTAATTTATATACAAAGGAGGCATGACTATGCACCCCTGGTACCATACAGCAATAAATGAAAATGACAGATTTCTCATTAACGACTGAACGGATTTTGATCAAACATAGATCGAAAAGTTCAGAACTGCAATGCCGTCTATGGGACTATCTTCCTTTTGCATAGGTTTAACCATATATTTTAATTCAAGTTTTCTTGTTTTTGGTAGGCAGGGCTGCGGGACACATAAATGGAAATAAATGAAAAAGTCGGGATTTCTTATGAACGACTGAACGGATTTTGACAAAACGTGGGTCAAATTGTTCAGAATTGCGATCCCGTTAATGGTACGATTTAAAGTGTGAATAAGTTTTATAATAAAGCTTAAATCAAATTGACTTAATTTTAGGCAAGCAGTGCTGCCAGATATATTTATTCTTCGTAAGAACATTTATGAAAATAAATGCAAAAGTGGGGTTTTCTCATGAACGACTGAACGGATTTTGATAAAACAACTACCAAAACGCTTGGAATGTCAATTCCATTCATGGGACATTCATATTTCATACAATTGTTTAAATGGTCAATAGGAATATTTTCTGGTGGGCTATTCATCGATAGGGTGTGGGAGGCGCCCCTATCGATACGAAGCCCGGTTTTTTGAATGAGATCGGAAAAAGAAAACGCTAATTTCTATAAATCTTTGGGTTACATTTAATAGGGATTTAATTCAAAATTATAGAATATTTTTCCCTATCGTTTGAGATACCGTGCAAGCTTGCACGCGTTCATTTAAGGGTGTAAGATTTTGTGGGGGAGGGGCATAAAATTCCGCCGTGGAATATAGTAAATTAATCTTTCCCTGATTTAGCTGAAAATTCCATCTGGTTCCATTTTCATAGTTCGCGCCTTAGCTATCAGCCCAAATACCCCACCCACTGTTAATCGATTTCCTCGAAATCTGGCCGTTAAAAACAATTGAAATTTTCACCTAATATTCGTTAATTTTTCCCTGGTTATCCTATATACCGTGCATATGTGCACTGGTTGGTAAATCGAAGTTCGTTCCATTCCGACGCTAACTCATCGACGCGTAGTATTTTTACGCTACATTTTTGCTAAACATGATAGATGAAATCTTGAATTTTGGCCAGTGATCATACGCGTTCAGCACAACTATCGATAACAATCCATCATGTTGTTCTGCTGAACGCAACCAATTTTATTCGTTAGAGCAGTATATTGTTATCGGTCGAATTTGGTATCTAGTATATTTGATGTAGATCTTTCAATTTTCGCGGCATTATAAGTTCAGTATAGTCTTCTCGCTCGCACTTGTGTAAGCCTCTATGGAGCAAGTAAATCTTTTAAGAAATGTCAATTACAGTAAATACCGATAGTATGGTAGCCCTGACTTTAGCTTAGCACCGTTATGTTTTAGAGCTTTCCAGAATGACTGAAATAAATGGTAATTTAAATTAATATGAAAACCTTGAGTTCATGCTGGTTTTTGCAGCTCTCAGCTGCGTGGCTCAGGACGATGTAGTTTCCCTGCGCATTGTCTGCACCATGGCTCGTGACAAGCACAACAGCCTGGAGCAATTGGACTGCTACGGAAACACCGCCTTATTGAAGGCCTGCTACCTTGGCCGATTCGAGTGCGCCCGCACACTTTTGGAGTTTGGCGGAAATATATTCGCCGTCAATTACTTTGGCCAAAACGCCCTGACCCTGGCAACATATGCTGGCCACTTGTCGTTGGTTCAGGAGCTGTTGCGCCGAAGATCTTACAAGGACTTCAATCTGTCCTCTTTGATTCCGGCTATCTGCGTGGCCACCGTGCAAAAACATGCTGATCTGGAGCAGTTCTTTGTCCAATTAGATCCGAACGGAGTGCAGGAAACTCAAACAGTTCATGGCGAGTAGATATAGACTTGAGTATTTGTAAAATAACTACATTATCGTGCTTGCAGGACTTGGAGTTAAGGAATTACGAGGCATGGCTGTTCAAACAGATCGTTTGGAACCGGTATCACCACCCACATTTATTTGTCATCGTTTTCGCTGAAGAGTTTAGCCTTGAGCATGTTAAAATTTTTAAACTTTCTATTTTATTATATGAAGAATTGCATATTACCTGTATTTCGATATTTTTCGCCCGGTCACATCTCTATTTTTGTCTAAAAAACAATGGCTATGAATCGATATTAAAATTTAATTTAAATAAAAAGAAAAAGTTGTGTGATATAATAGTCTGATTTTCATAAAATTCTTCTCAAAATTGTAGAATAATATTCTATTATATGAAGAATTGAATATTAACATTCTTTCGATATTTTTCGCCCGGTCACATTTCTATTTATGTCGTGAAATATTATTGCTATGAAGCGATATAAAAATTTATTTTAAATAAAAATATATATACCAGAAAGTTACCTGACTTATAAAATGGCTATATCTCAAATTTGATTAAATTCTGTTGAAAACTGACAATGTTATCGCCACCGCGATTTTCATTCAGTAAATATATCTCAAATTTCTCGAGCTATATGATATATTAGACAGATTTTCATAAACTTTTACACAAAATTGTAGTTTAATATAAAATGGCTTTATCTCAAATTTGAATAAATTCTGTTGGAAATTGAAAATGTTCTATTCTTTTTTGTAAAAATTTTCCGATCATTTCTGTGGCAGCTTTATGATATAGTTGTGCGATCCGGCCCGTTCCGACAAATATACGAGTGAGAGTATATAGAAGACTAACTATATAGAAGACAGAAGGACAAAGGGTATAAAAATACTCGAAAAATTATCAATTGTTCCCACATCAAATAAATGATCTTTAACTTGCTGCTTCCGCAAGAGAAATATTTTTAATTTGTATGAAATATCACTATATAACTAATGATATTTAGATATTTAGGCAAAAAGTCACGGTAAAAATATTTTTACTGTACTATCGATACATCGATAAGTATTCCACATCTCTATCCCGCCCGTTTCGCACAATTCCCGCGAAAAAACCGCGTTCGTCACTCGTATTAAATTCAGCGCCGTAGAAGCATCATTTATCTTTCCTGCTTAGCCACTAGCTCCACATCAGTAACTGCCCCGCATTCGCATAAATTGTATTTCCTGAAAACAAGTAATACAGAGAAGCCAATATGTTTGAGGCACGTTTGGGTCAAGCCACTATTCTGAAGAAGATCCTCGATGCTATCAAGGATCTGCTTAACGAGGCCACCTTCGACTGCAGTGACTCCGGCATCCAGGTAAGTCCCAGCACAACGCATGCCATGTGGCCACAGCCACTCACCAGTTTGTTTCATCCATCCATAGCTGCAGGCCATGGACAACTCCCATGTGTCCCTGGTGTCGCTGACACTGCGGTCCGATGGCTTCGACAAGTTCCGATGCGACCGCAACCTGTCCATGGGCATGAACCTGGGAAGCATGGCCAAGATTTTGAAGTGCGCCAACAACGAGGACAACGTGACGATGAAGGCGCAGGACAACGCTGACACCGTCACCATCATGTTCGAGTCTGCCAACCAGGAAAAGGTCTCTGACTACGAGATGAAGCTAATGAACCTCGACCAGGAGCACCTTGGCATCCCAGAGACGGACTTCTCGTGCGTGGTCCGAATGCCGGCCATGGAATTTGCCCGCATCTGCCGTGATCTGGCCCAGTTCAGCGAATCCGTTGTCATCTGCTGTACCAAGGAGGGCGTCAAGTTCTCGGCCAGCGGTGATGTAGGCACTGCCAACATTAAGCTGGCCCAAACCGGATCGGTGGATAAGGAGGAGGAGGCGGTCATCATTGAAATGCAGGAGCCGGTGACGCTCACATTTGCCTGTCGCTACCTGAACGCCTTCACAAAGGCGACGCCATTGTCTACCCAGGTGCAGCTGTCGATGTGCGCCGATGTGCCGCTGGTGGTGGAGTATGCGATCAAGGATCTGGGCCACATACGCTATTACCTGGCGCCCAAGATTGAGGATAATGAGACATAAGGCATAAGCAGCTGTTCTCCTTATATTTATATCCCTCTTTCGCAACCACTCATCCTCCCTCACGTACAATTCATTCCTAAGTTTAAGCAAATTCCGCACATTTTGATCAATAAAAAGCGATACTTTATAGTGTTATATGCTTTAGTTTTTACTCTGCTCTCCCAGAGCTGTTATTGGGATAAAACATAACAAATTGGATTAAGTGTAGAAACCATAGCATTCCATTTACTAGTAATAACCTTTTATTCGCATGTTTAACACTGGGTATAGTTTAAGGAGAGAGATTGCAAACATATTCGGTATATATGTAGGTATGTAAAGAGTATTTGTATATCAAAACACCTGGTGTAACGACGATATACATTCGGACAGAGTATCGTGTGGGATAGGCAAAGAAAACTAGGCATATCTCCAAGATATTTGAAGTTTAACTGGGTTAGCCTCCATACTGGACAAACTATTGGGTGGTTTGGGGTCAAAATAAGGGCAATATGAGCGATTATCCTATACAAATGTATATAAGTACTCGTATCGTATATCAGGCACATATTCGGGAGCTGCTCTCTTAGCGAGTGTGTGCCTGGAATCAAGAGCATTCGTTAGTTGTAAATATAATAAATAGTGCGTGTTTACACGCTTCCAATACTTGCATACTTGGCTTGCTTATGCTAACAGCTACATATATCATATATCCTATACATATTTTGTGAGTATATAAAACATAGAAAGCAGTGTCATATAAAAGTGTATAAAAAAATGTTGAGATTACAAAGTAATAAAAAAGCAAGAAGAGTGCGTTTAACAATGAACAATTCGTTCCTGCGCATAACAAAACTCGGTCTAAACACCTATAGCTTTGGATAAGTCCTAGGGAACGAACATCTGGTTATTGATCCCCTTCGGGTGTGAGATTCTCCAGACCTATAGGTATATAGACCGACTTAAACTCGTCCTATGAAGCTGCCAGGCTTGCACTGGGACTGGATGATTCCTCGTCCTCGTCCAGGGAGCTGCCTTTGTCATCGGTTGATTTGTGCTTCGGATTTACCTGAAGCAACGTCTGTAGAGATTTTATGCAGTGCTTGGATCCCTCCATAGCTTCGTTGGATAACTAAATAAAAGAAATTAATAAGCGTTGTTCTGTAGCTTACATTGCCCTTCTTACCATGGTGAAATTAAGGAATCCATGCGGAAGGCCCTCAAGGATTTCCAAGTTGACTTGGCGGCCCAGTCGTTTTAGCTTTTTGGCAAACATGACGCAGTCATCCAAACATGGATCCATATTCAATGTCTAAATGGGAAATAAAGTATTAAAATCGAGTTTGGTTTAGTAATATTATGTGAAAACTTACAAGTATTTTGGTCTCTGGCAGCTGGGATAGCCACTCATCGCTGGCCCAGTAGGGTGACAAAAATGGGTCTTTAGGCACATCGAAGGCAAACTCCTCGCTGGGACTACGTGCTATCAGGGCATCCATATTTCGCACGTCCTGCTGGCCCATCGTTGAGCTACCATTGATCTCATAAGACTGCGTGCAGCGGGTCAAAGTATTGGTGATGTTGTTAACTGCCTCCTGCAGTCGTCCCTGCAACGTGTCAATTGCTATGAGATCACGCCCCGTCTCCACTAGAATGTTGTCATCGGAGCCGATTTTAGAATGTCCATTGGCTTGCCCTTGCAATGGCTGGTTGGCCGTTTCTTCTGTCGCCTCCATGGTAGCCGTATCAATAAGATACTTGTCCAAAAAGTTATCTATATAGGCTGCTGAGGCGGCGTCCTTGGGCGTATCGGCCGATATTTCGACTGGGTAGTGGACAATGGGCTGCGAGTCATCCTCGAAGGAGACACACGAACTGTTATCGTTCTCGCTGTTGGGCAGATCGGTACGCTCCACGGTCTGGCTGTGGTACGAGGCCGAGGCACTGGCAAAAGTATCGCTGCTTTCGTCATCCTGCTCCGTGTTGGCTTCCAGTGGCGTCAGCGGACTTCGGGCAATAGAGGTGCGGCGACTAGAGTTCAAGCTACCAACATTCGATTTTTGGGCATTACGTATCTGGGCTGCATCCTCCACATGCCGGGCATTCTCCTGCAGCGTCTCCTGGGCGGGAGCTGCATAGGCACGAAGGCATCGCATCATGAAACCGAATGGTAGCAGGGGATCCATCAGGCACAAAAGTCGCGCCGGACTGGGTACGAAGCTGACGAGGGTAGGGCAGTAGGCCAAGAACAGGCCGTCCGGCACTCGTACTCCCTGCTCAATGCACTTGAGGGCCACTCCGATGGAGAGATTCGCTCCAGCCGAGTCGCCGGCACACACAATCCTCTCGGCCGTCGTGCCCAGCAGCTCGGTATTGTTCAGCAGCCAGCAGTACGCGTAGTAGACCTCCTGCAAGGCTCGGGGAAACGGAGCCTCCGGAGCCAGGCTATAGTCCACCGAAAGAATGGGACAGTCCAGGGCCACGGCCCAGTCGCGCAAGTACAGTTCATGGGACTTTGAGGACTGGGCCACAAAGCCGCCGCCGTGGCAGTGAAACAAAATGGAGCGGCTCGGCGGAGTGGGTTTGTGCCAGCCACGATAGCGACCCTCGCCCAGCATTCCCGAACGTCTTCTGGCGCTCAGCAGGCGTACGGAGACCGGCAGGCCAGGTCCCAGATGAGCCGAAGGCACGGGTATCTCCACGAAATCATCTTCACCTTGATTCTGGTTTACATCGCTGCCGGGGATGTCCGAAGGCTTGAAGTCCTTTCGTCTCGGCAGCTTCAGCGGCTCTGCGGGCAGTTCAATCAGTCGATTCACCTTAATGGAGCTGCCCACAATGCTGGGCAGTTTATGCATCAGCTCTGATTCGGCCAGGAACCAAAAGGACTTGCAAAAGTCAATCTTGGCATTCTGCGAGATGTTTACTATGCGGCGGGCACGCAGCTCCGGGTTCATTAGGTACTTGCCGCTGGTCCACAGGCTGCGGGTGGTCTTGACAATGGTCCCATCGCCCTCCTGTGAGTAGTAGGACTCCGAGTAGCTGGCCATGCTGATGCCCAGGAAGCGGAGAACGCCGCGTATCGAGTCGCCGTACTGGAAGCCCAGACAGCGACCGTAGAAACAATACTGATTGATGGTGTCGCCTAGTTCGAAGAGCTGTTCGGCCGTGTGATTGCCGCAGGCGAATAGATCTCCCGTGCTAGCCGACCACTGGCGCAGGATGAGCAGATACTGCAGGCAGGTGCATAGCGAGGATAGCAGCTGTGAGCAGGCCTCCACCTCTTTCATCAAAAGCTTCTTGCGAAAGAAAAGCGTCGATCGGGTGGTCGACAGCTGTTTGCAGATGCTGACACCGTGCGAGATGCAGGCGTTGGTCACGTAGACGAAGCTGCGGTATCCATTTCCCGGCGTCTCCTCGTCGAAATCGTACTCGTGGGCGAAGGCCTCGATCTGCTGCACCAGCCGGTTGGCCAGCACAATGAAGTCCTGCCAGGCAATGTGGGCGGCGTGCAGGCGCTGCCCGAACTCGGTGTGGTCCTTGGCGAAGAAGGCGGCATGATCCTGGCAAGCGGTAAACAGGCTGCGGTAAGACGCCTTCAGCTCGGCGGGTACGTGGGGTGGCGGTGGTGTGGGTTGCTCTATCGTTCTTTGTGCCGCCTTTCCATTGCTGGTGGCGACCGGGTGGTGGCCATCGTCCTCATGCGCCAGTTTCAGATTGTCGTTAAAGAGGGCACTCAGCTTGGGACTGCCCCGCTCGGCGGAAGCCGCGTCAATCATTGTGTTCTGCCAAGGAAACAGATTATATTAGCCATTATTACTACTTCTTTTGTTGCATCGGCGTACAATGTCCAAGTTTTTCATTGTTTTAACAGGAAGAGTGTAGTGTGTCTAGCTCTGTGAAGGTCGCCAGACTGATAGGTAGAGCCTCGAGCAGTTGGTTTGAGTAGTCATAAAACCATGGATTTCTATGGAATCAATGATGCAATCAGGGTAATCTAATAGCGGGCCATTCTGGCTTTGGATAACGAGTTTTTAAAAACATGTCATTGCAAGCTCTTGATAAATGCAATAAAAACTTTCACTTGACAACTACTACGCACTTCCCTAGAAACATCCGTGTTGAACACTCTAGAGACCCTAATTCGTGTTTTACGACCTCATACTTACAGAATAAAGGTTCTGTGGTTCAAAGTTAATTCATTTTTAACTAGTTCATCTAAAGCGGCTTCTAACATAACTAAATTGTGGAAAAACTTTGGCCCGAATTAACTTAATTGCGGCCAGTGTGACCGCTGGCGCAATTTAAAAATCCCAAAAGTTAGCGAACGGTATTTTGATGAGGCTTTTTGCGCTAGAGATGGAAGAACATCGATGACAATATACCTTCTATGAAGTACCGGTCATCGAAGTTTGCGCAGCTCTAAAAAAATGTCGCAATCGAACGGCGCGTGCAATTAATTCATCTTCATTAAATTTGCACTATGTGCGTTCATTGACCGGCAACTTCGGCAAAGCGAGAACATGAGCGTGAGCATTGTCCAATATTTCGGCAGCCAGCTGGGCAAGTGCGGCTACTGTGCCAACACCAACTGCAGCAAGTCGCACGGTAAGAACCCGTTACCCCTTCCGGTCCAAGTGCAGTGTACTCAAAGCATTTCGTCATCATGCAGGAATGCACTCTTATCGGCTGGACTGCCAGGACTACCAGGATCTCATCGATCGCGGCTGGCGGCGCTGCGGCAACTACTGCTACAAGATGCGCAACCGGGAGACCTGTTGCCCGTGTTACACCATCAAATGCGATGCGCTGGAGTTCAAACTTTCAAAGTCACACAAGCGCATTCTGCGCCGTATGAATCGATTTTTGCGCGACGGCAAGCGTGAGTCAAGCACTGGGGCTGGCACCGGTGATGGTGACGGCGATGACGCGCCTGGAGGCGGCGAGGTCACTGCCAGCGAGCCGCAACCGCAGCTGCCCGATAAGAGTCCGGTCTTGATCAATGTGGAGGAGGTTACGTCACTGGCGCAGGCTCAAAAACAGAAGCCAGCCAAGCAGGCGGCGGCGGCGGCGGCGGCTGCTCCAGATTCTGTGCCGCCGGTTCAAGCTCCAACGCTGGGACCCAACAAATGTGGGTATATAGGAAAAAAGTTAGCTTTCGCAATTGATCTCAGGCATCTTAAGATTCCAATAAGTTAGCTCCATATTTTCATTGACGTGAGTAACCTCCTTTCTACCATTTTTTCAGCAGCTGCAGCACCGATCTCAAACGCACCGCGCAAGAAGGCCAAGCAAATGCGACTGGAGCGTCGTCAAGCCAAGCTGGGCGACAACGAACCGCAGGCGCCAAAGGCCTGTCCTTCTCAGGAGAAGAGTCTGCGCGACTTTTTGTGCACGACCGACAGCGATACCAGCGTTAACAAACATCAGCTGAAGGTGAGTGTCAAATATGGTTAAAGAGTAGTAGTTAGGATTGCTTTTTATTCGATTGACCGTTTGCAAATCTTGGCTAGTTAGCGTGTTCCTTCTGTGTTATTCGTGTTTTTTCTGTGTGTGTGTACGAGTCCCCGAACCCTTTACATGTAGACACATGTTGTGCTGTTTGTGTTCTTGCAGATCGTTTTGGTCGCTTCCTCAGACACACAGCGCACCTGCTCCGATGCAGTGATAGCCTTGTATCGCAAATACCAAATAGCCATTCACCACGATAACCCCGCACGCCTCACCCTAGCCAGTATGCAGCGGTTCTTGGTCAAATCATCCTTGAAGGTAATTATCAATCATTTTATCTTACCAAACAATTGTATTCGCAGCTGCGTCTGGTGCCCGTCCATGGCGAGGAATTTAAACGTACACTGCCCGAGAGCTTTGCTCTGTACGCAAAGTATCAGATATCGATACACAACGATCCGCCAAAGGATCGAGAGGCCTATAAGGACCATCTGCAAGTGACGCCCATGAAGGTTGCCCATTCGAATGTTTCCTAATCACTGCAAACCCTTGATAAACTGACTCTAGCCTTTTCTTCTCAATTTCAGAATGACAAGCCAAGTGATGGGCCTGAAATGGGCTATGGTTCCTTTCATCAGCAATATTGGCTGGACGATCAGCTGATTGCCGTGGGCGTGATTGACATTCTGCCAGCCTGCATAAGCTCTGTGTACTTTTTCTACGATCCAGACTACAGCTTTTTATCGCTGGGCACCTACGGCTCACTCAGGTGAGAAATATATGCCTATTTATGTGCAGAAATATGAGTTATAATTTATGGATATTTTTCAGAGAACTTGACTTGGTGCAGACCATTGCTGAGAGTGTTCCCGCCTTAAAATACTACTACATGGGTTTCTATATACACTCCTGTCCAAAGATGCGCTATAAAGGCAAGTTATCCGCCTCGTATTTGCTCTGCCCCGAGACTTATGACTGGTTTCTGCTTACCGATGGTGAGTTCTTTAACGTTGACTAATTATAATTTGATAATTAATGCAATTTCCCCTCAGCCATACGTTCTAAGCTAGACGAACAAAAATATCTTCGCTTAAATCCCGATCCTAGCGCCCGGGATGTGAATGAGTTCTTGATGGAGCATTTAGACACAGTTATGCTGTTGTTGGATGCCTCAACCTGCACGGATTACAAGCATTATACGCAGGTAGGTACATATAGTTTATAAATGAAAAAAAAAAAACAATAAAATGTTTATTTTTCGACAGTTACCACATCAGGATAGTGAACTAGAACGCGCAAGCGAACGCGAAACTATTGTAGAATACAGCAAACTTGTAGGAAAGGTCTGTGCCAGACGCATGCTCTTCGTAAATATGTCCTAAATATGAATTAAAAATTTTTTAGTCCCTCTGTTTAAAGTTTGTAATTAAAATTGTTTATAATCAAAGTCCCGTAGCCAATGATGTGCCCAAGTAAATCAGCTTCATAAATGAGCACTTGTTTTAAATTAAATTCATGTAATGACATTATCATCATGGCGGCAAATGGATTTGTCAACAGGCAGCATGGGAAAAGGTGCTTGTCATTGATATAACGTAAGTCAGACAAGAGGACAGATGTTTTCACTCATCATTGTGGTGGTTGCTGCTGTTGCTGCTTATCGGGAACAAGCAGCTAAATGCATCAATTAAGCTTTATGGAGCTGGCAACATACACATCCACCCAGCACTGTTGGTACAGGGAGATAATGTGGTTTACTTTATGGCACACACATCGTGAGATAGTTGGGCTAGGAAGCCAAGTTAAATTGCCGAAAGTCGCGAAAGCGTTTAGAAGGGCTCCGACATCAGTCTTTATATACCAGGTGAGGAGGAGTTTGAATATTTATTTACTTAATAATTAGTAATAAATATTGTCAATAAAGTTGGCTAAACGCTTCTGTGAATTTTCACTGGCATTTGCCAAATGCGCTAATTAGGCAAATTTTGAGACAACTGAACGGTCAAGTGAAGCCACACGTGTTTTTTATAGGCGGTAACTCGTATTTTTAAAGAACGAGTTTTATTTTGAGATAATAAATAATGATAATAATCTATTCTAAAATTCACTCAACTGGATAAATTAGAGGAGCGAGTGCGGGATTTTTATTTTTGACTATTAGTCACCGTGTTTATTGATTTAAATTTTAGCACAATTTTGTGAATTTTTATTGTTTAAAAATTTCGCGGCTTTTTGTGTGAAAATCGCATGCGATTTTTGGCACGCTATCAGAAAGCGTTAAAAGCCAGTCCGACGGTGAGCTTCAACCATCGTCCGTCAGCAACAATTTAAACAATTTTTAACCGTTTTCGCTGCTGCTGCTGCTGCTAGCACGACCGAGACTGAGACTGAGACTGCTGCTGCTGCTGCTGTTGCTGCTGCGGCAGGTGGAAGTTTTGCTTAAAAAGTATATATGCCATTGGCAGTCGGCGATTTAGCTTCATTCGCCGCGCGACGTTCTCAGCAGTATTTTGTATCGTGATCCGGCGGCGGACTCTCCGTTTCTCCAAAATATATAAAAAAACAAGTACCAATAAAAAAGTGAGTCCCGGTGCAGTCAAGTTTTTTGAATTTTCGAAAAAATCTTTAAATGCATTTTGAACTTGATTTTTGGCGCCATAATGCCACATTTCTGATAATCATGATCGTCGTCAATATCTTTTCGAGTGCTTTCTGTGGTGATGGAAAAATTCCATGCAAAATTTGTGCCACGAAGAAGTACGAGACGAAAACATAAGCAAAGATAAATGAAGATGAAATTTGGTGTTTTGTGATCGCGAATTGTGTGCGTTTCTGTTTAAATTTTACGTGTAAAACAAGCAAATTAAGTGTTAAAAATTGATTATTAATGGACCTTTTGAACCTTGCTTAGCACTAAATGTCATTTAATGCCTAGTTCTTTTGTTCTTAGAAGTTTTTTATGTCAATATTTATTATTTATTTTATAGATCTTTAATCGATCTGTTAAATGTTTTTGCAAAAAGGTCAAGAACAAGAAGTATAAGCCACTTCAGAGAGACAGGCCCTCTTTAATCTAGTTTTTATCCATATATATGTAAATATGTTGTGTGTGCTTGACTAAAGGCACTTAGAAAAAATTTGGATTAAAAAAAGCATCAGTTTTGAGTGTATTTCAAAAGTTTCAACAAAACAATAAATCGATATTAAAAAAAAATTATAATTGCATTAATGTTTTGATAAAAAAATAATTTTCTGGTGCTCGTTTGAATTTGATTAAATTAATTTTATTATCTAAAATTCAATAACGTTTTCAAAAATATCAAGTTTAAGGCAAACGTTTATTTAGATAAAGAGCTAAAGCATCTTGCGTATCTTAAAATAAGAAAGTATGAGAATCCAATGAATTTAAAATGTATTGAAAAATGTAAAAAAAATATCGATTGTCAGATAATCTCAAGATTTTCTTTGCGTGCTTGGCACTAATTTCGACTGTGGTCATTTTCATTTCAGTTAACAAAAAATTTGCATTTCAAATAATAACTGGTTTCGTTATTTCGATTCATTGAACCGCGACCACTATTCGAAACAATTTCGATTTGTTTTGTTTCGGTTTTTGCGCTTTCGGACAAGTGATCTCTGGGTTCCGTTAATTCCAGGCCTTGGCAACCGCAGCCGGGAAGCTATAATCCCAATTTGGTGCTGATTTTGTGTTAAGTTGGACCAGGATTGGGGAGACTTTGGACCGAAAGTTAGACCGACTGACAGACAGGCGGCAGTCTGATGGAAAGAAGTATCTAGGTTAATGTACAGGTTTGGGTCTTCGCAAAATATTCAGCCAAGTTTTTTTTTTTTTTGATTTATGCAACGGAAAATAATCGGAATAGGTTTAACATATTTTCGTTATGTGAAAAATATTTGAAATATTTATATATAAAAACAAAGCGCGCGACAATATTTGCTCTACTCGTGATTTTTATTAACATGCGCGTGCAATTTTTAGCAATTGTCGCATTGATTTCGCATTATTTCATTCCGAAACTGAATCGGTATAAGTGGACAGGTATTTACAATCATTATAGAGTCTATATTACATGCGCCACGTAATTGTATGTGTGTGTTTGTGTTTTTTTTTTCCGAAATTTAATTATAACGTGCAAAAATGCAAAAAAACACAAATTATATGATTTCAATGGGAATTGGTGCAAAATGCCAGTACATTTCGAGTGAGAGTAGTGGAGGCTATGAGAACCCGAATTTCGCAAAAACAATAAAAACAATGATCTACTACAATAAAGCTGGCAGCTAACTGGGTTCATTACCTGCCTCTGCCTCTGCCTCTGCCTCTGATTTGTTTGTTGTCAGTTACGCTTGATTGCCATCAAGAGTTAATTTGCAGAATTCTGCGGCAAAATTCCCGTTGATAAGTGCCAAAGCCTCGACTTGGATTCAAGGCAAAAGAAAAAGACCCACGGGGAGGAGCTGCTGAGACGCACCTCAAAAACCATGTCAAGTGGACAAAACACACCGCAAGTCTTATGTAAATAATAAACGCGTGTTGTGAATAACCAAGATTTTTGCTACATCTTCGGGTTCGTTGTGGCTCAACATATAGTGACTTTGATCCTACGATATAGCTGAGCTTTGGCTGTAAATCAAATCATTTATCGGGGCAATACATGGCAGTATTGCCCAGCTGAGAGTCCACCAACAAAAGAGTCCACTGCGATTGCGGCTAATTGACGATTAACCTGACTCTAATGATCGTCGTTTACAAGCTAAATGACTGACTTATCACGACCAGTCCATGCGCCATATATTCGACTATACTTTATATACTTTTTAAGGCCTTTTTACGATCCATAAATTGTCGATGTTGATAAAAGCGTTACGCTTAAGATTAGAGAAGAGGCTGGTTGGTGTTAACTTAATTTCCTCATACATACATTAGGGAAAACCTGAAAATAAGAAGAGGTTTTTGGCCTAATGATAATGCTTTCGGTTTATCGGGACTCCGATCCAGAGTTGGTTGTAATGAGTACCGGTAATTAGAGGTTCAGTAACTTAGTATTAGGCCCCAAATGAATGCCGAAGGTCAGGTAGGGTTCTTTGATCTTGTCTCGGAAAGTATATACCTATAATTAAAATAATTTCAATTCACCTTCACGTATTTGCGAATCATCAATAGTGACCAAAATATGTTGCGTTCCGATTGTTCACTTCCAATTAGTTTTTTTCCCGAATCAATCATCTACGGGAATTCACATCCAAGTCACGTTAGCAAGCCCCAAATTAGTGCGGTTTTTAGTTCCCTACCTTACAGTTAGATATCTCTAGCCGGAGGATACGATATGGTTATATCTGAAATTATCTATTTTCGGAATGAGAAAAATAAGCTTACAAGTAGTTGCATACCACCTTGGTACATATATCTTTTTATTGGCCCCAAAAGGGGATCGTGCTGCTGCTGCTGTTAAAGATAAGAGCGGCGCTTTGTTTTATAGGGTATTGTGGTTCCATTGATAAATTTGATTGGCCGTGTTAGTGATTACTTATCGTGTTCGTAGGAAAGCCTGCATAAAGCTTATATTTATGGGCTTCTCTCAATGTTAATAATAATAAAGATTTAAAGGAGCCATAGGAAATGTTTTTTAGAATGTGGTACGATTTTGTTGCTTAATCATTTGAATTAACTTCCAGGCGTCATAAATTATCTGTGCCATTTCACTGGGCCATAATTGAGCAGGCTTTTATTTAAACTCCCTCCAGAACTCATTACGATCTTTATTTACATATAAATAAATATAGTATATATTCGATTATAGGCACGAGAGAGTTGAAAGGCTTTCGCGCAAACATTTCTTTTGTACGACGACTGCAGCGGGGCAGCTGTTTAAATGCTTCAATTACCAGAAATACTTACGGCTACGAAGCGTTGTGTTCTAAGTTAATACTATCGCAAGATCACTCTGGGATAGGATAATTTGAAAATAAGCTTAGCATGACGCCGGGCAATTACTAGATCGTATTATCAATCCGCTTCCTCCAACTCCAACGACATTGTCGAAACATTGAAATATTATTCGATTGACACTTTTATGGTTGTGTGTTTTGCGGGTCATTTGATTTATTTATGCATTTTGTTATGGCCACAGATCGGTCCGACCCTCACGTGCCAAGTGGTACGTGCTTATAAAATTAGACAAGTGCAGCAAATGCACGCAGATACCAAAGCAAAAGCGATTTAATGTTACTAACCGATTGCGAAATTGTCGGAAATGCAGGGTTTAGTTCTAAACAGAACCCCAACACGTGCAGTTAATATAATCGTAGCTTTTATTGTGACATATATCTGTGTGTTTGACCCTAATCGGTCATCACTTTTAAATTGTAATTACATATATTTTAAACTAAATAGTGTATACTCGATAGTATGACGGTTATATTGCTACTCATATTAAATGATATATTCCACTTTTTGTTACACCTACTATTTACAAAACTAACAGAGGCTCGACTTAAAAGTTATATTTTTTTCCTAACAAAATAGGTAACATTTTTTAACTAGAATCTCGTCAATTAAGGCCTTAAAGCTTTAAAGATTTCAATAGGGTATTTCTATGATCATCGCAGAGTAATACTTATGACAGCTAATACTAAGGGAATTTGTCAGACGAAGAGAAGAAAGATGATATTTAAGCAGCAACAGGCGATTTGATCTAGCCATTTTTGACTGTCTATTTCTACGAAAACTAATCTCTGTCTTAATAATTTAAAGAACATTTAAATCTAAATAATGCTAAATTATTTTTTGGTGAAAAAAGTTGTTTTTTTTTACTGTTCTCAAAAAAAACTTTGCCTATTATTAAATTGGCGTTCTTTAACTCATTTATATTTATTTAACTTTTAACTTAACAAGAAAAATCAATAAACTAAAATCCAATTCATAAGAGTTTTTATGACTAGTTGCAATTCATATTAAATGCCATTCATCTTAAAAAAGATAAATTATTTAAAAGTGGAAGCTCATCTTTAATTCTTATTTATTTTTGACAATATTTACTATTTGTTAAATATTTCTAACTGGTTTTTTTTTAGCTCGTAGCATAGCAACCAATAATTTTATTTCACTTACCCACAATCTGTTAGCAAATTTATATTAATATTTATTAATTAAGTAAAATCAATAGCCAATCCCAGAAATCACAAAGATTAATGATGAATATTGATTTTTAGCAAAAAAGTAAATTATTTTCGAAAAAACCGAAGCTTATATACCCTTGCAGTTTGCATTTAAATTGAAATCTATTTATTTATTTTTTAATTAAAGTTAAATTAATTAAAGTTAAGTTAAAAAAAAAAACATAACTAAGCAAAAAAAAACATTAATTTTAGTTCGTAAATCTATCCTATGTTAGTTTTTATTAGGTCAATAAATCTGCATTCTGAGATTACATTGAAAACAATTTTATATTTTTGGGGATTTTTGAACGATGTAACCCCTTATAAAATTAAAAAATAATATTTAAATAGACTCCCCTGGTGATGCTGATCAAGAAGATTTATATGGTCGGAAACGATTCCTTCACTGCATTTCAAGCTTTTGACTAAATTTTATAATACCCTTTGCAAGGGAATACAAATTTATTCCATCGATGCTATCTGTATTGACATTTAAAAACAGTTCTGAAAGACTTTTAAGCCATTCTTAAACTTAAAATCAATTAATACAGATGATTAATAGATTATTTAAATATATTTAACATCTTTTATGGGTATTTTCTGAATTTCTAATTTGAATAGCGTGCTATTTGCGTATTAGTTGTTAATGTTGGTAAATAGACGTCTTTGAGATCAGGTATTGCCAAAAATAGCCAAAGCCGACTCCGCCACTTAATAATTTATTTATTATATTCGGCAAATGTTGTGGGAAGTACCCGGACGGATACCGGAGTGATCTGCATAAATGTCTGGCTAACAGCTTCCTGTTATTTTCGCTTTTCAGCTGACACCTGACGCGCGCGGCACCCGGAGCCACAACAAAAGCCGCCGAAATGGCCTTCATGCCGTGCTGTAAGTACTCTCCATATTAAAATATATTACCACACGCTCGGGGGGATTCGCCAAATATCTCGTGAATAAAGCCTCACGTGATCACAGCGATCACCGTATTGGCGAGGTGAAATTCCCCGTAAATTAAGTCGGGCCCAAATATTGAAATTTGCGCATGCGCGGCCCATTAGAGATATGAGTTCAGACGCCCGCCAGGGAATAGAGTGATCTATCTGGAGATCTCTGATCTGCTAATTGGACTAATCTGCTGCAAGGGGCCTGTGCCTGATCCATATATCGTCGTTGTCAATAATCAATATTTGTTGTCGTTCGCAGTCTATGTGCCCAAGCGGATCAATGTGGCGATCATGCTCTTCATGGCCTGCCTCCTCAGCTATATGATGCGGGTGAATCTCTCGATCAACATCATTGCCATGGTGGATGACCAGAGCAACCATGAGAATGGAACAGTGGAAGCTCTGCCCGATGTGAGTGTCGAACCCGAAACAAATATACATTCCAGTTATGATTATTAACTTTAGTATTTGCCAAAAACGAGTCTGTTTACATTTTTTCCCCTTTTTTGCTCATTAAGCTTGTGAATTAGCTGTATAAATATTACTCTTTTCAATTCCAAAAATAAAAATCAAAATAATGTAATTGACGCAAATTGAATTGCTCTAAAAGTGAAAATAAATACGGCCTGGAAATTAGTTCACTGGAAATTAAATAACTTTCCCTACAAAAACCTTAGTAATGAGTCCTAATGATTGGTTAATAATGATTTAATGAGAATTAATAATAATAGAATAATATTATTATTAAAATAATACCTTATTATTATTTATTAATAATTATTATTAAAAATAGCGATGCTTATCTTTATAAAATCTCCTCGCTTCAATGTCTGCTTTTATAGATAGTCTTTAAGTATTTTAAACTAGTTTTTTTTTTATTAATTTTTGATATAATATTTTAAATTCCTGTTTTAAATATCTTCTAGTATGGACCCCGTTACAATTGGACGCAATCGGATCAGGCCCTGCTCCTGGGAGCCTACTTCTATGGTTACATGATCACCTCCCTGCCGGCCGGCACCTTGGCCGAAATGCTTGGAGCTCGTAATGTGGCCGGTTACAGTTGTCTGGTGGCCGGTATCCTTACGGCTCTGACTCCTGCCGCCGCTGCCTGGGACAAGTATGCGGTCTTCGCTGTGCGCTTCCTGATTGGTTTCCTCAACGGTGTGGTGTATCCTTGCTGCCACAGCCTTGTGTCCAAATGGTCACCACCCGATGAGAAGGGCAAGTTTGTGGCCTCGCTGATGGGCGGTACATTTGGAACTGTAATAACTTGGCCCATCAGTGGTGTTATTATCGAGAATCTTGGCTGGGACTGGGCCTTCTACATCGTTGGTATATTCGTGCTGGTTGTGGTTGCCGTGTGGTTCTACCTGGTGGCCGATACTCCGGCCCAGCACAGTGGTATCAGTCTCAAAGAGCGGGAATATATAGAGAACAGTTTGGGCAACACCCTGAGCAACAAGAAGGTAAGTTGTTAACGTCTTTTTAGTTCGGAAATATTTCTCAATTTCACTTCTACGAAAACCTATAAAATTGTACAAAATACTACAACGTTTATGTGAGTCACAGCGGGGGATTTTTGCAGAAATTAATTAGTATTTATTAAGCTTTTACCTAATTTCGTGGTTTATATTTAGGGTTTCTTAATATCACAGTTTTCCCAGAAATTAATAATGAAGACTTGCTAAATGGCCTCAATTTGAATTCGAAATCAAATATCTGTACTATAGTAATTCAATAATTTTCATTTTCTTTCCAGAAATGGCCTCCATACAAGGAGCTGATCCTGTCTCTTCCCTTCTGGTCACTGATGATGCTTCACTATGGCAGCATGTGGGGCCTGTTCTTCCTGATCACCGCCACGCCCAAGTTCCTCAGCGAGGTGCTGGGTTTCAATCTGTCCTCCGCCGGTTTCCTGTCCAGCTTGCCGCATGTGGCACGCCTGCTTTGTGCCTTCGGTTTCGGTGCTGTGGCGGATTGGATTCGTCGACGCGGCTGGTGGACCGTCACTCGCATGCGCAAGGCCTTCTGCCTGCCTTGTAAGTTTACTAAAAACAACTATTATTGAATGGAGGAGAGTAATTAAAATAATTATTATTTGAAATAGCTCACATCTTGCCTGGCATCATGCTGATAATCCTGGCCTACTTCGGCCGCGATCCGTACGTGTGTGTGGCCATTATGACCATCTCCCTGGGCTTCAATGGCGCTGCCACGGCCTCCAATTTGGCCAACTCACAGGATCTGGCGCCTAACTATGCGGGAACGCTTTATGGCATCATCAACTGCGTAGGCACTACCCCTGGAATCTTCTCGCCTCTGATTGTGGCAGCCTTCACCAAGAACGAGGTTTGTTATTACATTCTTTAAATCTCTAAATAGGTTTTATTAATTTATATTATCCATTTAGAACACCATTGATCAATGGCATTGGGTCTTCATCATTGGTGCCGCTGCCTACATATTGCCTGCCCTATTTTTCTGGGTCTTTGGATCGGGCAAGATCCAAAAGTGGAACGAGGTGGAGACCACCGAGTCGCGCGAGGATATTGTCAACACAAAGTTGTAGTTTGTGCAATGGCATTCCACCTGTGATGTTGCTTACGTTTAGTATTATGCCATAACTCCGATGTGTGCTTGTTGTTAATGGAGAGTCCTATTAAAGCTTTAGCCGTGTATTTATTAATATTAACAATTATTCTTTTTATTGGTGGCACGTGCTTGAGTGAGTTCTGCCTCCATGAGTCAGGTGTATCTGAAACCAGTTAGTCCAACGACCTTAGCCTGCCTGTGCAGGGGAAGCACTTTGGCGAACTGGTTGGCAGCGGGGCTCTGTGCAGAAGTTAATTTGATTTGGAATTGGCACAAAAAAATGGAATTGACACCCATAATTAGTCAAATGCTAATCAAATTAGTGGACACTTTTTTAGACGTTTTTTGCAGCTAATAAATTCCCGATTTTAATTGAAAATTAACGTCATGGCAAGGCGAATTTAGTGTGCCAAGAGCGTAACTCTAAGTCGCAATTTATTGGTTGTTAAAAATGCATTCAAGATTTTTAATGGATTCGATTACTCACAAAGTTTCAGCGAGTGTAGCAAGTATGAGGAATTTTCAAAAATTTCATTCTTCTCATTCTTCAAATAATATAAATACTAAAGTTTTTTTTTAAGTAAATCCCCAAAAATGAATTTATATTATGTCACTTGTAATTTTAAAGCATATTTAAAGAAAAAAAATATATATATATTTAAAAATGTGAGTGAAAAATAAAGACAGACTGCCAACTGCTTAATATTGCAAATTATAGCTGAAAACATAATTGTTAAGAAAAATAAGCTGTTTAATTCTTTGCCAAATATCTTTTACTATTTTTATACAAGCTCATTAACTTGCTTAAATCCCAAATTTAAATTATGTACGACGAAATCAAATTTAACCGCAACTGATAATATATCGACTACCCGTACTCATCGAAATCGATTTTGCCATCGTCAGGGAACGGTCACACAGCCGCAATTTGGTATTTTGCTGTTTTGCGAACTGCGGTCACCGCTTCTCTTGGACTCTATATTTTAATTTGTTTAACTAATTTTTAGCCAGTACGCAAGGTAACGCGGCGGCGCACTTAACATTTTTAGCACAATTACCACAAGCAGCGCACAAAATGGCCGAGGTCGAAGCCGTGCAGATAATTGCCGAGTCACTGAAGCAACAGGTAAGCGAGGATCGTCGTCCGTCCGCCAACATGTCCCCCAAAACTGCAGTTTACCGCACTTGCCAATTATCTTTCGTTGGGGATCTTCGGGCACGCCATATTAGTGCCGAAAATGCGTTGGAATCTTTGGGCCTGGCAAGAACAATGGATCGCCCTCTTATCTGGGCACCTGTTTGTTGTGCAAAGTTCAAAAACACTTGGTAGTTGTTGGTTGTTTCCACCCGATTATTCCTGTTGTTCATAAAAGGCGTACAAGTGAGAACGGATTGTGATAAAGTCAAATGTTCCAAAGGTTTTAGCCTACAGTACCACGACCCAAACACCCTTGTGAATTGTTTGCCTGCATACGGCGGCGATTATCGCAGGGGGCCGCCAGATTAAAATCAATAAAACTTTAACCGGACCGGATTCCATCCGGCGGGGCAATCACTTGAGAACGTGTTTGCATATTGGTTAGTGATTTGCACTATAAATTCCTTGAGTTTAGGGTTCTCATATGTTTGATTGATGGATAAATGGAATAGGTGCTGGATACCTGGCGGCATTTTTTGGGGTTAGTTTAGGGATTACTGTTCGTGCTTGGGCGTGTGTGTGGCCAGGGTTCCATATTAAATAAATTTAAGGGATTTTAAAACAACAAATTAAGTAAATGGACAAAAGCTTAAGCCTGCGATTTAATTAATTGCAATAATAAACAAATGGCATTTGGGCCGTTTGAACCAAAATATTTGCTTATTGCAACTGGTTAGTCGTATTCTTTATATGAAATTATAATCTACGTTTTATCAAAAGTTGATTTAGTTTATTTACCCCCTAGATAGTTTCAAGTTTTCAAAGTTAACAGCCCCCACTTAAAGGTTTTGCTAAATTTTGATTAAATATTCAGATTGTAATCGACTTCCTTTTATTAAATCTTATCTTAATACCCGAACTATGAACTCACTTTGCACTCTTTTTTTGAACAGGGCGTGGAGTATGTTTTTGGCATCATCGGAATCCCTGTCATTGAGCTGTCCATGGCCTTCCAGGCCGCCGGACTGAAGTACATTGGCATGCGGAATGAGCAGGCTGCCTGCTATGCCGCCCAGGCCATTGGCTATCTGACGGGCAAGCCTGGCGTCTGCCTGGTGGTATCCGGACCCGGATTGCTCCACGTAACAGGTATGTCCCATTGCTGTTAAGAAAATACCTTTGGCTGTGCTAATCAAAAACATAAATCCCGCTAGGTGGCATGGCTAATGCTCAGGTAAACTGCTGGCCGCTGGTTGTAATTGGCGGTGCCACCAATCAGGATCACGAGGGCATCGGCGGCTTCCAGGAGTGCCCGCAGGTGGAGCTCTCGCGGCCTTACTGCAAGTATGCCGCACGTCCAGCCACCGCCGCCCTCATCCCGCTGCACGTGGAGAAGGCTGTGCGCTATGCCACCTATGGACGTCCCGGTGTTGCCTATCTGGACTTCCCTGGCAATATTCTGCAATCCAAGGCGGTTGAAGATCGCATCTACAAGGCGATGCCTCATCCGGCTCCACCACTAGCCTATCCTCCCCACGACGATGTGATCCGGGCAGCCAAGCTGCTGCGCCAGGCCAAGCGACCGCTGGTGATCGTGGGCAAGGGCTCCGCCTATGCCCATGCCGAGAACACGTTGCGTCACTTCATTGAGAACACGAACCTGCCCTTCCTGCCCACGCCGATGGGCAAGGGTGTGGTCTCTGACACGGCTCCCCAGTGCGTCTCTTCGGCCCGAACCCTGGCCCTGCAGAAGGCGGACGTGGTGTTGCTGTTGGGCGCACGCCTCAACTGGATCCTGCACTTTGGCAAGCAACCGCGCTACGACAAGGACGTGAAGTTCATCCAGGTGGACATCAATCCCGAGGAGCTGCACAACTCGGTGGTTGCCTCGGTGGCTATCCAGGCGGACATCCGGCCCTTCGCCGAGCAGTTGTTCGAGCAGATGAACGCTGTGAACTTCCGCTTTGGCTACGAGCAGGATTGGTGGAAGCAGCTGGCCGTCAAGTGCAAGCAGAACCGCGACACCGTGCAAAAGATGTCGCTGAACACGGAGACGCCGTTGAACTACTATGCGGTCTTCCACCATCTGCGCGAGCTGCTGCCCAAGGACACGATTATTGTCAGCGAGGGAGCCAATACCATGGACATTGGCCGGTCGATGCTGCTGAACGAGCAGCCACGTCATCGCCTAGATGCCGGCACCTTCGGCACCATGGGCGTGGGTCCTGGATTCGCCGTGGCCGCCGCCCTTTTCTGCCGTGACTTTGCGCCCGGCAAGCGCGTCCTTTGCGTGGAGGGTGACAGCGCCTTCGGTTTCTCTGGTATGGAGATCGAGACCATGGTGCGGTACAAGCTGCCAGTGACCATTGTGATTGTGAACAACAACGGCATCTACGGAGGCTTCGACAAGGACACCTTCGAGGCCATTCGCAGTGAGGGCGATCTGACCCAGATGTAAGTGTATGCCCATATGCATCTTATCTCAGCTTATCTGGGAGCAGCAGTACTTATGGCTAATCTTATCTTGCAGCACACCACCCTCGGCACTGGGCGTTCAGGTGCGCTATGAGGAGATGATGAAAATGTTCGGCATGCAGGGTTACTTTTGCACGGAGATCGAGCAGCTGCAGGCGGCTGTCAAGGCGGCCAACCAGCTGACGGACAGGCCGACCATTATTAACGTGGCTATCAGCCCGTCCTCCGACCGCAAGCCGCAGTCTTTCAACTGGCTCACCGAGTCCAAACTGTAGGATACAATATACACCTAGGTCTTAAGCACAAAGTTCACCATTCCGAAAGTTATATTGCCACGAATTTTTTCTGTATATACATGCAATTTTTGATAAGCTCTCCTGCCTGCTAATTCCTAACTGTTGGCCCGCTTCATTTCCTCCTCCAGACCAAGATAGGCCAAGAACCAGGTGAAGTCCACTAGTCGACCTTTGTGTAGGAACGGCAGCTTGGGGCAAAGCTCAAAGGCGATGTTGAGGGGAGCAATATCCGGAACCTGGTCGCTGCGCATATTGAAGAAGGCGAGAAAGTCGCGTACTTCGATCTCGTTCTGTCCATTACGCTGCAGCACCATTAGTATGTCTTCCACCAGCTCCAGACTGAAGGGCAGCCGGCAGCCTCTTAAGGTGGATCGAACCTGGGCCTCGCTGATGTACGGCTTGCAGGCCGGATTGATGTGACTGAGGTGATCGTTCAACTCATCCACGCTATTCCACAGAGCTCGCTTGAGCTCCAGTTGGGCTGCTGCCCGCACTCGGTTCCTGTCGCAGCTGGGAGGCATTGCCTGCTCAGCCGAGAAGTAGCGACACACGGTCACTATTTCGTGGTTGAGCAGGCAATCCTTGGACAGGTACAACAGGAGAGTGGATCGCAGTGTGTCAAAGCTCACGGTGGTTAAGTCACCGAGATCCCCATCCGGCTTGCATTGGAGAACAAACTGCTTATAATGGGGACGCACGGCATCGCGGATTTTCTGCATGATCCTTTGGATATCTGCCACGGGGAACTAAATATCGGAAAATATATATTATAAGCTGCATTTCATGAACACCAATCAAGCTTACCTCGCTGGGATGCTGCTCCATGTACATCAGAGTGAACTCATCGGCCGAAACAATGTGGAAGATGTGATCCTTTAGGGTCATGGTGCGTCCTATGTAAAAATCATTGGCTTTGTAGTACTCCGGTCGCGAGGAGGCAAACATATCTTGGCCCGGCAGTGGAACACGTGCCTTTTTGAGGAACTCGCCGCCCAGGAAGCCCGAGTTGCGACGCGATGACTCGTAGATCTGGACCGTGTCGTCGGCCAGGAAGTAGCTGATGATAAACTCGCGCTCACCATTATCCCGAATGGCTGAGATAAGCTTGGCCCCGAAGCGTAGGATGCAGCCGTCGTATTTGAACAGCTTCTTAAAGTCAGCCTGCGGTGGTTTGGGCTCCACTGTGATGCAATTCCCCTCGGAGTCCTCGTGACTGCCCCAGCCATTGTAGGGAGGCAGGCGACGCTTTGCCATACCACCGCCCTGAGTGTATGGTCGTACATCGCTGCGCTCGGGAATGGGCTGTGATTCGAACTCCTGGATTCCATACTAAATGTAAGAAAGAATAATATAATAATAGTCTTTATAGATCTTTCTAGAACTCACCTTTTCCCTGTAGTAGCTTTGGGTGAACTGATCACAGCCCGTAAGGACCACTGACCTACCAAATACATTCAGTACAGCTCCAATTTGCAGATCCTGGTCGTTGTAGTAATGCAAGGGCTTCTGTCCCGTGTTCAACGGGTCGGCTACGTAACGCACATCACGCATATTATTGCCCAGGATATTGAGCAGTGTCACCGCCGTCTGTTGGCCCGGCAGGGGAAGACGCGTAAACTCCTTGGGCAGCTTGCCACGTTTAAGGAAAGTGCTGGGTCCCTCACGTCCCGAGTTCCGTGGGAACTTCTCCTTTATGTCAATGGTGTCGTCTGCCAGATAGTAACATATCTCCAGCTTTCGCACATCCCCAAACTCGCTTCGGTCATTCCAATAGCCCTGGAACTTGAGCACACGCCGATCGAACTCCAAGAACTGGGCAAAGGAATGACGTTTGGGCAGAGCCGAAGGACAGGAACTCGCTGTCTGCTTCAGACCAGAACGCTTGCGTATTTCCGTGGTGGGATCACTTGGGATAAATTAGAAAATGGTTAGGCAACAAATAATTTATAGAAGGCTTTGAAAATTGAAATCGAATTTAGAATTCCTACATTTAAAGTCTTCCCAATCCTACCTTGGTTCCTGCTGAGTTTCAGGCACAAAGATTCCGGCTCGATTGAGGAACTGTCGCGTGAAGATATCGCATCCACTGATGTGGTAGATCCGATCAAAGATCTGCACATCGATATCCACATTCAGGTCAAAGATGGAGATGAACTCACGATCGGTGGGCGGAGCCTTGGGAATACGCTGGCGATGCACCAGGCAACCCTGAGGTATACCAGAGTTCTCCACCTTTGGCTCGGTGACCTGCATGGTACCATCCTCCAGGTAGAAGTAGATCTTAACCTTACGCACCTGGTAGGGGGCATGGTAGATCTCAGTGAGGTTCTCCTTGAAGTAGGCACTGAAGCAAAGCACTTGCTTATCATAGGCCAACCAAGGTGGCAGCTTGGTGGTAGCCTTGGGGGCCCACAGACTGTTGATCTGGGCAGGCACGGGCGGGCATTTGGGATCGGCCACAATGCCATCGGGCTCCACCAGTTCCGGTTCCCGGCGGTCGGATAGCATCTGAATACCCTGGTAGTGCATCAGGGTCTGCTGCCGCGGATGGCGACGCTTGCCACGCTGTTGGAAGGAGTAGAAGGTTTAGGAGGAGACTCTTTTGGTAATGCCAACTCACGTCATAGAACTGTGCTCCTGGCAGCATGGGCATTCCCGGTAATCGCATCATCTTGACGGTGAATTTCGTGAGTTTTCCAAATATCAAATGTGTAATTTTGCTCCTTTACAAAAATCCTGTTTGCCAAATTATTGTGGTTACATTTGTGTCGAAGCCAAAACCAACTCTGTGGCAGTTAACGCCACGCATCAGAATCCTGGACTGCTCGAGTGTTTCGACATTTCCGCTCCTGCTGCTGTTCGATAAATGGAACAAACGGAACTATGGCAATGGCTCCACTCGCCATGGCAGCCCGAAAAGTCAACTGGCTAAGAAGTCCACCAACCACCTGCAACTGGTAGTGGTTTCCATAGAGCTACGACCACTAAGTATACATCGCTATGCGTATGTTTGTTGTGTTAATTGATTAACACTGGTGATGTTTAAGTTCTTTTAATATTTACCAATTAATTTAATAATTTATATACAAATAATGTAGGTTTAACCTGGGTTTAAAGAAGCGGGATTACTTATGTAATGGTTATATTTTGTTGCTTGGGAATTAAAATCTTAAATGTATTAAACCCAGGGTATAACTTCTATTTTAAGTACTTAAAAATAGGCCACATTCATGACTTTATGTGTTACTAAAATGATTTTTTATCAATGACAAAGGTTTATGGCAATTTCTAAGAAAACCACAAAGCTACTTGGTACTTGAACTTGAACTGAACACTTTAAACATTTATTTATTTCCCATTGTGCTTGTCTCACCTGTCTTTCACTCACGTTAAAGCAAACGCGTCATATTTGAACCTGAAAGTATCTCTTCTCAATCGTTGATTGAATTGGTGTCGGGGTCCACTGACTTTCTAGAGTCATGGCCATCGCTGACTATATGCCCTCGTCGGTGCAGACGTTTTGTTTGCTAATTAGTCTGGCAGGCAAAAGTAGGAAACCCACCGAAGCACGTGCTTTCTCACCTCTCTTTCTCCAAAGAAACTATACACAAAAACTATAGTAAAACGATGGCCCGGCACTTGGTCTGTAAGAATCGAGGCGGTAAACGTTGTCAAGACCTCGAGCGGACAGCACTAAAAGCGGCGGAATGAACCTGTTGTGAGTGTTGAACCGTGAAGTGATAATTGTGTAAGGTCCAACTGATCAGTTAACCCCTCTTTAGGGCCAAGATAGTACTTTTCCTTCTAACTCTGGAGGCAGTGGGTGCACTGGAGGCTAATCTGACGGCCTGGCGACATCATCGGCGGCAGAAGCGTTTCCTTATCTTCCAGAACGGGGGCGTAGTCAAGGTCTGACATCAAATATATTTATTGATCATTAACGTATATAGTAAATCATTACATTAATTTGTATTCAAACAGTTTGTCTCTGGTTGTGCATTTCCGGTATCGTTCATGGAGAAGAAGGCCTGGCGCCAGCTGGTCTGGCTAATGAATTTCCACTATCAGTTCAATGAACCACAAACTCCCATCTATTGGTGGAAACTATGGGACAGTTCCCGGGACCTCAAGGGACCTGCTGCAAGGCATCCACCTTTGACACCTATGGTGCCAGCTCGTCTTTTGGTGGATGAGCCTCAGCTCCTGCTCTTCCGGTTCGCCGAAGGCTACATGAATCAGTTGGGTCAGAATGGGACAGCCTGTCTGGAGCGTTTGATCTGCGAAAATGGACAGGTGGACGAGCACAGTGGACTCTATGCTCAGTTGCTGCACAGAATTTTAAGGTGAGATTTGTCTTCCCTTTTGGCTCAAACCAAAGTTGACCTTGATCCTTTCCCAGACCTCATCACACGCTGGATAGACGCTACCTGGATGCCTATCGGATGGGTCGTCATGGCGTCGACTGCCGTCGAGCCTATCCCCAGGCAACCCATTGCGTTCTGGACGACTACGTGCACCTCCATGAACGGCGAACCACACAGAGTTATCTTTAGTAGGTCTTTACGTTTAGTTACAGGTCGCGGGAGCTTTCTCTTTGGACGAATGGCGCCGGTTGTCAGTAGTTCATCAATAGCATTTAAATAACATGTACAAAACTAATTAATGGTAATTAAAGATAATAATTAAATAATTCTACATGTACATGTGACTATATACAACGAGGGAGATCTATCGTATACCCTCTACTTGCCGCCAGAATCGGGTATATCGTCGTCATCATCATCATCAGAGACTCGCCAGGGTAACTGATAGTATTTCTTGTCATTGCTGGATAACCAGAGGATGGCACAGCGATTGGTGCAAAAGTTGCAGGTGAAGAGCTGCTTGGAGGTGCTGCCGCGCCTATGGAAAGTTATAAGATTTGATTAAATTTTTGCAATAATAACTCTATATACTAATATCTTTTCCATGTGCTCATCTTAGGCAACCTTCACTGTACTTCTTGCGGTTGTGATAGGTCCATTCGCCCCAATTAGAAAGCGGACCGGTTTCGTACGCATCAAAACAATGACCACATGACTAACGTAACGCGGACCCACCTCTTCACGACCATGAAGTAGTACGAGGTGTACAGACACCTCGAGCAGGTGGTAGTCGTGCAGCGGGCAATGGGGCCGTTGTTCAGGTGACAGCTCATATAGGGTTCCGGTAGCAGGCGATGGAGTGCACCGTTCTCATAGATAGGCAAGGAGCGGTTCAGTGATTGCAGGGCATGCAGACAGTCGTCGTAAAGCGTGACTCGATTCTCTGTGGACGGAACCGGAAATACTGTGCGGGTGCCAACCGGAAGAACCAGACGGCAATTCGTCTCCAGTTCGCGTATCCAAAACAGACCCTTGCGACGAACGGCTCTGGGAAAGGGGTAAGATTTAATGTTTAATTTTTGGAAAAGCGTAAAGAAATGCTTGGATTAAGTAAAAAAGTAGTAATAATTAGAAAGAGCTCCAAGACGTTCGGACACTGATTATGTCCTAGTTACCCTTAGCCTTACATTGGAGTAATCCTCTGGCGGTTATCATAGAAATTCTGGTAGAATCTCTCGTACACCATGGGTATATAGTTGATCGCCGTGTTGTGGAAGATGCGCACATGGTTCATGAACTTGGAGAGGGCGGCCGGCAGGTAGATGAGAGAGCAACCTGCAAGGGAGTCAACAAAATATGCAAATTTCTCCGACAGCATCACGATCTTTGCGTATACTCACGATCGGCGGCGAGGGACTGTAGCATCGGAAGATTGGAGATGCGCTCGGGGATGTGGACCAGTGCTTCGTTGTCGCTCACATTCAGCTCATTGAGGCGGACGCATTCGCTCAGTTGCAGGGGCAGGCGGCGAAATTGGTTCTTGGCGATATTCAGATGTTCCAAATTGCGCAAGCTGCTCAGTTCTGGGATAGGATGGGGGAGAACAAGCCGAATCTATGTGGCTAGAAGTCAGTCAGTCACTAGTGGCAGTCTTACTCACCCACTGGTAGTTCGGTGAGCTGGTTGCCCGCCACATTCAGCTGCTGGAGGCTCAGCAGGAGACCCAATGTGGGGGGAAGCTCCTTCAGTTCATTATTGGAAACGTCCAGGAACTCTAGGTTCTCCAGCATATAGATGTCCGTGGGCAGTTCGCTGAGATTATTACCCGCCAGGTGGATGAACTTGAGGGTGGTGATATTTAGCAGCCATTTGGGTATCACCGAGATGAAGTTCTCCTTGAGGTAGACCTCCTCGAGATCCTCATATAGGAACAGATCCATGGGCACATCCTTAAAGTTCAGATAGCTCCAGTGCAGGATGGTCTTGTTCATTTCGGTGCCGTTACAGTTACACAATCCCCTCACTGATGCTGTTGTTGCTGCTGTTGCTGTTTCTGCTGTTTGCTGTTGTTTGACGGCGTCGCCTTTAGTCTGCTTATACTTTGTTGATTTAATTATATTTATATGCGTCTTTACGCGGTCATGATCATCGCTCGGCACCGCCACCCGCCAGAGAAGCACTGCCACCGCCACCAGTGCCACCACAGCCACCCAGTGGCTCAGGCCCAGTGGCAGCCCCAGCAGCAGCAACAGCAACAGTTTGCTCTGGCCAACAGAGAATCGGAGAATCTCCGCCTGCGCTTCCTCAATGCGGTTCAATCTAATGGGACTCGTCTAAATTTGTCTCTTCGCACCGTTGTCTTTCGCAATTTCGCGCGAGCACCACTGAGATTCTTCTATGTCCACCTATATATCGCCTTAATAACGCTCACCCACCACGGCGTATACGTAATGTGTCGTCGGCCCGAAAGTATGCAACTGTTTTTTTTGCGATGGCGGGCCAAATGCCGCCCGAAGCTTTGGCACTGACATTGAATTTTCCTGCCTGCATTGATTCGCTTTTCCCCGCTGTTGCACTCAAGGTCGCCGTTTGCTGAAAGCCAAAATGCAAAGGGCAAGCTTTTCCGAGCTGCAGTGCATCGAGCTTTATGGCACTAGGTTGCTATAAAATGGTCAGTGGGAGCTTGACTAAGTGGGATATATGTCCAAGCCAAGCTTTCGGAAAAAGGCGTGTATAAATTGGGAAATTCTGTTGCTCTCTGTAAAAACTATGTCTATGTATTGCATTTTATGTTTTAGTACTTGGGTACTTCTTAAATTTTATTTTTATGTGTTTAAAATATTCATCTAAGTGAAAAATACAACAATAAACAGATACCATGGCAGGTCCCTATTAAAATCCATGAAAATAAAATACTTATGTTAGCTTTCTTAAAGAAATATATTAAAGTTATAGATTATTGTAATCTGAAAGAAGCTAGAAAAATCAGCAAGATGAGAGTAAAATAATTATAGCTCTTTTTCCTGCATCATTAAAACTTCATCTTATTTTCTTAGCAACGTGTAATAAATATTATTTTATTTATGCAATTACAATACATTTAAAGCCTTAACTTAGTGTTCACTCGCACAACTCCGAGATCTTCAGTATCCATAGGGTCCGTACCCATAGCCATAATCATAGGGACTATGATGATGGTGATGATGATGGTAATATGATGATGGATAGTACTCATACGGCGAATGTGAATACGGCACTCCGAAACCCACACCTATGGGCAGCGGTAGAGGTAATCCCACAACAATGGGTGTTGCCCCTACAGATCCCAGAACGCAGAGTACATAGAGTCCGATCAGTGCGATTACAGCTTTCATGTTTCTGGCCAAGATTTGTGAACAAACTGAATTATTCAAGACGCTGCCGATGCCTTTTAAGTCGATTTGGCTTACGTTATCTTTGGGAATTTCTATCACCAAAGTGTACAAACAAAATCCAGTAAATTTCTCCAGCAGCTTGAGAAGGTGCGAATTACTCGAAGAAATGTTTTTCCCCTTCCCATGCAAATTGGCAATTGTTCACGATATTTGCTTTATTAAATTATTGTTTAATGTTCAACAAAATTCAGCTTTACGATGATCTTTAATATATATTTTCAGGCCTTAATGATGATGATGGTGTAGATCCCAGTGCACATCGTGGTGCGGAATATAAGGCAGGTGATAGTGATGATCGTGGTGGTGATCATGATGAGGATCGTAGTGCGGATCGTGATGAGGTAAGGCCATTACTCCAGCCATGAGGAAGAGGAGTCCTAAGATAACAATTAAAGCCTGCATGTTTCTGCTAAGATTTCGAACGAACTGATGCATCTGTTTGGGATGCATTGCCTTTTAAATCATTCTGTGACCTGTATTTTTGGGTAATTCCCCACTAAGGTGGATAAACAGAAGCAAAAGTCAAGTAAATTTCAGTGGCCTTTAAGTGTCAATTAGTTAAAATATCGAAAAACAATTTGCTTTATTTCGTACAGTTAACTTTGGTTAAATTGTTAAAGCTCTACACCGTTTATCACAAGTCCCACAAGGAAGGGCATATATATCAATCAATCTCTAGATTCCCGATTTCACATTCACAGTCAGCTGCTTAAAGTCCCGATCGCTCAGCAGGCGCCACTTTTCTCCCAGGATCTGTGAGATCTCCCGCTCGACAGCCTCATAGGATCTGGAGTTCCTTTTCAACCAGGCATAGAACTCATCGCTCCACTCCAAATGCCTGGGCCAGTCACACCGTAGAATCACCGCAAAGCGTCGCACATAGAGATGCCGCAGATTCTTGGCAGTTCGGGCAATCAACAAAAGCGTCGAGGTGGAGACTTTCTCGCGGATTATCTGTGGAGGGGGTACAGTGGTGTTAAGTGGAAGTAAATACAAAAAACTCGTAATCAGAAACTCACCAGTGTGTCCAGATTGAAGCACTGCCGGCAGAGGAGCAGCATCAGACTATCGACGCGGCTGTGAAAGGGCTTGGGGCTGGAGAAGCGCGGCAGGAGCTCATGGCCATAGACAGCCAAGGTGTTCCGATAATGGTCCACCATTCGGACGAGGAGGTCAACCCGGATTCGGGCCTGCGGTGCCCAGTATGTGATGCTGTGGACAGGTGCCTCAGGCTGCAGCACCACCTCGCCATCCGTCAGGTTCTCCACCCGCAGGTGGACGCGCATGCGTGGATTCGTTTTCTTCAGACTTCGCCAGGCCTTCACGCCGCAGGCACTTATGGTCAGGTGACTTGGCGTATAGCAGTTTTGAAGTAAATACAAATGACGTAGCTTGGTGTCCGCCAGCAGGGACAGGACATCGTCGTCTATGTTCTGAGGGGAAATGGTAAGCACCTAGGAAAAAAATAACACTATTAGGAACACGAAAAAGATAGTTAAATTCAATTTTTCACCTGCAGATTAAGGAACAAACCCACATGCATAATGGGACAGTGTGTGGTGGTTACATTTACAAGATTCAAGACCCTCATCTTGGTGCAACAGCTGCAAACAACCTCATCGAGCAAGTGATTCGCCTCGAAGCGTTCCAGCACAAAGTCCACCAACTTCAAAGTGTGCAGATCTGTCAGCCGCAGGAGCAGCTCCTTCAAACCCTTTAGGAGCTGCCCTCCAGTGCCGAAGAGCTTGATACCCTCGGGATCATTGGGCTGCGACATGTTGCACGGGAAGTGATAGACCAGCGACCGGATACGGCGACCCATGCCCACCAGTTCCGGCGAGGCATTCAGTTCTGCACCCTAAAAATAATAAAGTTTTTAAAGTTAATCGTGTCAAACCAAATAATGAGAAATTTTACCTTATCCATGCTCCATGATAATAGTGTCATAAACTGGTAGATATTGTTAAAGCTGTGCCATGGCCGAAACTCAATTCCCCTTAAATATTTCCCAATCCTCGCCAGACAGTTCTGTGTACGCATGTGATCCAGGCAGTACTGCCAGCCGGAGTAGTAGTTGTACTTCGGTCGGGTTAGGGTGCGATCATCCATCACAAAGTTGTTCCAAACCGTGGGCAAGTAAAAGGCACGATACCATTGCCGGCAAACCTGAAAATATATCAATAAAATGGAAATTTAAAGGATTTATTCATAATATATTTATATATCTAGGAATGTATATTTACTTAATAATATTCCGATCATAAATAATGAATGTTGTGCAATTAAATTAATAAAATAGTGACAGCATATTTATTGAACTAGGAATCTAACAGAAATATAAGTATACTGATACGTGTTTTGTTTACTAAATGTAAAGATATTTAAAGAAGAGTTGCTTTCAAAAACTAAGCATATTTTTTATTGTCTTTGATGAATTTAAGGTAAATATTTCTGTAAACTTCAAATGTGTATTACAATTTCTTTTGTCTTTCAAGCGAACATATCATATTGTGCTTTGAGTTTTCTTTTAGAGAATTATTTTACAGAGTTTGTTTATATCATAAAATCCAAACAAAGGCACATTTACATAAATAACAATCAATTCGTCATTCATTATTACTCAATTATCAACCAGATCTGTATAGTTTTTGCTACTGATTGGTTTATTTTACATTTTATCATCATTTCTTATATATATTCGTATAAGTAAAATTAAGGTTAGAATTAACTAAGTTCTATCCATATTAGATAAAATTCCTAACCCTTTGGTTAAGTATACTAACCAGTCCTGCATAGTATCTCTCTTTGGGGCTTAGATATGTGAAAATTTCCTCGAGGATTAGGTCCGGCAGGTAGCACCAATTGGAGTAGACCCGCTTGGAATCATTCGCTCCATCACCGGCATCATCATCATCTTCATCCACATCGATATAGCAGGCTGAACACATATATATATAAGTTTTTTAGGAGACAAATTTAAGATTATTCCTCTATCTAGACATGGGAATTTCCGACCCATTACCTTTCTCATTCTCATCGATCTTCCAGCCAGCTTTTTGCATAACCTCAAGCTGGCCGCTACTTTTGCGTCCCACACTCAGTGCAGACATGTTGTTTGGCTTATATTTGTAATATTATTTTTATTATTAATCTTATTTCACAAATTATTTACAACGCAAACGACCGCACATCACTATATGTACTCTAATTTTGAAATTTTTTTTGGCACAGCCTGCTCGGACGGCTTCTTCTTGCTTTCAGTTTCGGTTTATTTTTATATAGTTGGACCGACCGACCGACCGAGATCGTCCGTCCGCCTGCATTCGCAGTTGCGTCGCGTTTGGCCAGGCGACTGTCTCCCGAATAGAGATAGTGGTTCCTTCACAGATTTTCAAATCGCTCTGCTGGCTATTTTCGAAAAGCTGAAACCGAACTGAAAGACTGCTTTCCGATTTTCCGCCTTCCCGTGTTCTCGTGTTCGAAATTGTTAGGTTCTCGCAGTTGCCAAAGACCGTGTGCGTTCTCATGTTCTCCTCCGCATCGCGCTTCGGATTTATTTTGGTTAATATTTCTTTGTTGATTTTTTTGTTGATGCTTGGAACTGCGCTCGAGATATGGCAACTGTTGTGATATTTCGATTCCCTCTCTGTTGTTTTCATTTTCGATTTATAAAATTAGACGACGCCAGGCAGTGGTGGGGTGGGCAAGGTCTAAGGGCCTCCGTTTTTGAGGCACGGAACTGGGAACTGGGGCAACTTGTTGCTGCTCTTGATGCTAATGCTGATGCCGCCGAGGTGTAAATTATAAATAAACACTCGGGTTGTTTGGACTTGTTGTGATCAGGTCGATGTGCATTTTGTGGCATGTGCATTTCCCGCCAGACATACTTAAGTGTCCATGCACGTGTGTCAGGTCTATGTGCACGGAGAAAAAATATTACATTAATTATGTAATAAGTTAATATATCCTTTTTGAGATAGTAATATTTTTTTTTGTTATGTCACATTACTCATTATTCATCATCATCCTTAATTTTTATGAGCTGGTGAATTTATAGGATAAGAATGTAGAGGAATTATATTTTTATACCCTTGCTGGGTATTATAATTATAATCAAATTATTACTTTTAAAGTAACATAATTTCATTTAATTTGCGATAAACCCATTTCCTATTCTCTGCCTCTCTGTCTCTATGCCTCTGTGTCTATCTGCCTCTCTGTCTCTCTGCTTCTCTGCCTCTTTTCGGTGTGTCGATCTCTCCCCATGTATCTCTAGAGATACCGCTTTCTCTCTATCTCTCTCTGCATAGGTCTCACGATACCACTTTCTCCTTTGCTCTCACTTTCTCTGTTCTCTTTACTCGGCGACTATAAATACAGGCACTGCAGTCGCTCTGGCCTCAGTCTGTCCGCGGGGAGGCCCCTGTAAGCATCTATAGTGAAAGTGATAGTGATAGTTCGACCCCAAAAATATGGAATGACTAATGTAATACTTGTGAATAACCAGGAAGAAGCGCATTTCGATGATAAACAGCCTCATTAAAGTCACCAAGAACGAAGCAATGATGGCAAAGGATAATTATGACAATTAATTTTTGCAAATAGATGCTATAGGAGAGATCATACCTACATAGGTATAGAATTAGTTGTGCTCCTTATTGCCATGTACCGCACTATTTAATTTTAATATAATGTAATACCCCAATTTGTATTAGGGTTATCTGCAAACTTATAGTCAAAGTTAACAGCTTAACTTTGTTATTACTTAATCACATATATTGATTTATTACCCTTACGATAGTTTCAAAACAGAACATGACTTTGGCCTAACTTTGGCTATTTTTGCATAACCTTGCTAAGATATTATAATTTCAGTCCGAAGCTTGCAAAGCAGTGAAGGAGTCGTTTCAGACCTTATAAATCATATATATTCTTGATCAGCAGCAACAGCCGCATCTTTCTAGCCATCTCCGGTAAAAATAATTTTTTTGAAATTTTTTCGAAATTTCATACATTACATCGTTAAATTTGTCAAAATTTGAAAAGAAATTGCATTTTTTGAATTTAAAGCTCAATATGCAGATTTGTTAGCCCTCTAAAAACTAGCACCTTTTCTACCATTTTTTATATGTACAAATTGATCATTAATATTGTTTATTTTCTTGCAAAAAATAACTCTCACAAGATGTTCCTCTTTCTAAATATTGTCTAGAACGGAGGCTGGTCTTCAATTTCAAGCATTGGACACGATAAGTACAACATTACTTGCAAGTGCGGCGCTAAAAGTCCTGTAAGCTACTTACCAATCCTGGCGTTATCTTGCTCCTCTTTGGTGACACTTGACACCGCCACTTTGCCGGCAGAAAAGGCAAAGACGATGGAAAATTCCATCAGGCCACCGAACGATGCCATTGCCATTGCCCGTTTCCTTGACGATGTTCCCACCAACTGAGCCAGCTGTTATCCCAGTCAGTTTTCCCGATATTTTCCGCTGTCGTCCACTTGTGCATGTCCATTCCCGAGCTCGACACACAATGGGGCATTGTCATTTTGCCTCGTTCCTCGAGTGTCCAGGTACACTTAGCGGAAACAGCTGTTTATGTTGATGGGGTCGAAGCCAAGGAATGGTAAAAAGTGCATCAAGGGAAGGCATTTCCGGCCATTTCACTAAGCGTTGGCCAGCCAGCGGCAACATTTGGAGTATCGCCATTTTTGTTTTCTACCGTCCCGCGTTGCATACTCTTAGGATCAGGGCATTTTTCCGCGCCCAAGCACTTAAAAATATGTTGAATATTGAATGAGCCACACGGCTGAGTGGAAAAAGCTGGCTGCTCTGCCAGTAAACCATACAATGCGCAACACGGCCTTAATTAAAACAATTTTAAAACCAGTTAAAACACACTCACCGGACACCCGCACATATGTGTGTATGTTTTGTGTGTGTGTGTGTGTGTGCTGGCCGCTTGACAGTTGGCAGCGCCCTTCCGCTTTTGGTTGCGAAAACATCAAATATGACAGGACAGAACAGACCCCGGCTCCGGCTCTGGCTCTGGCTCTGGGCCTTATGCCCGGCTGGCTACAACCAAAATGTTGCTATGCAAATTTAAATGTCAACAAAAACTTGCAGTTTAACCCAAAAACCTTATTTGTGTCTGCCAGTCCCGGCAGGCAGGCAGCCAGTCCGGCCGTCAGCCATCTCGCAACGCTTTCCAGGACTGAGCTGCAATGTATGCAAACTCCATTAAAAGCTGGCAGCGATTAGGGATGAGTGCGTGATGAGGTGGTTCGTGGAAAATTCAAATAAAAAGTTTAAACATAAAATGCATTAATTCTAAATGGAATTTTAGTTTTTATATCTAGTAATACACATACATTTAAAGGGGTAAATAAAAGAACAAATATTTAACTTATATAAAAATGAAAATAAATAGTCAAATAGTTACTTGATTTATTCATAATTATTCTGCATAAAATACTGTTCTAAATAACGTCAAGTCAAAATATATAATCAATGCCTTTTAGTTCTGTTAAAAATAAATATTTACCTAGCTTCTTGGAGGTTCCGTCTAACAGATTTTGGAAGGATACAGTTTTATGAAGGAATAATAGTTCTTAAGTATTTTATTTTAAAATATATTTTTATTTTTCAAATAAATGTTTTTGTGTCTAGTAAATCACTTATTTAAATTGTTTTTTTGACTTGCACTGCAAAATGTAACCTAAATAAATACATTATATTTTTAAAGTCAAAAGATTTTGCCTTGGTGGGAAACAACTTTTATATGCAAATTTTTACGAATGGGCATCTTGTCATAAATTAATATTTTGTTAAAAAAATGAAGTGTAAATTACAAAAATATTTAAAATTTATGAGAATGATTTCTAAATATGTGAATCCCCCTCTTACTCTCCTATTAAATTTCAGTTTTTTCGCTCTCACACCTCTAACAGGTGAATTTTGTGAAAATCATGACTGAGGCTCGCCGGTCCGCTTATGCATATGGATATTGCTCTGTGCGTGCAGCTTAAACTGGAAAGCAGGAAGTGGCTGGTTGGCTTGGCTAACCAAGCCAGCCGGACTTGGCCAACGAGTCCTGCTCTTTGGGGCGGAGTGGGGTCTGAGGTGAGGTGAGACTGGTGGCGGTGTGTCCTTGTTGTTGGCCTTGCTCAGGTGCATCGCACTGGCAGCTGTTTGGGGCCATTGTTTGGCCATCGGATGTTGCCAAGTTTCGCATCGCAATTTAATGTATAATTTTGTAGCATTTTAGCTGCCGTTGTGACCCATTCTGCCATGTGGTTATGCAAATTGTTGACTTCTGCTTGAGGGACAGCACTAAGGACTAGGAAAGGTTGATGTGTTACTTGGCCATGCTTTTTGTGAATTGCATTTTAAATGGAAGAAATCAAGGGAATGGAAGTATTTATAGGTTTATAATGAGGAAAAGGGGTACACTAGAGACTTCATTTCCATATGAAAAATCTTTATATAGAAAGGGATTTTGTTATTTAAAGGACTTTACGTTTATTAAACAAATAAAGCACATCACAGATGCTTGCCTTGCGTAACTCTGATTGTAAAACAAATCGAATTCCTTGGCATACATTTTACAACTTTTCCAACTCCCTTAAGGTGTTTTTCCTCCTTCTTTTTGTTGTTGTTGCATATGCCACTTTTGTTTGGTTTAAATTTGTTTGATCCGATTGCCAGTTCGTTTTGTCCATTTGCCAGTAAACTTTTGTGACAGCTCCAACTGCCTAAAAATAACAATGAAATTCGATGGCGCAGCTGCTGCTGCTGCTTATGCCAAAGTTTTTGTGGTGAGTGGATAACTTAAAGACCCCCCAAAAAAAGTTTGCATAAACATATAGGGCGGCTCAATCACATCGGCCATTTGCAGCAGTTCCACTACCACCCAGTTTCATGGTCGTCCTCGACTTCCTGTCCCATCCTGACTCAATTGTTCTGCCATTGTCACAGCAATCCCGGATTCTCCACCCAAGCAATTTGCCTTGACAATAGTCATGCATTTTAATTGTGCAGCAGCTGCGGTTCATCTTTTTTCTTTCTTTTTTTAGCGGGGAGACAGTGAGGAGGGAAGTTCCTTTTCCGGCATTGATACACACAGAAAAAATTAAGCTTTAATTTGGTCTACAAGGTCTTTTAACTTCCATGTTTATTAACTGATTGTAGTACAACTTTTAGAGCAAGTCTTTGCAAATATATTTATTGCCAATCTAAATTAATCATATTTAATTTATTCATTAATTTCTCTTTGTGCATGGCGACTGCTAAACGCAGCAAATTGTGTGGCTATTAAAAAAAATGAAACTGCGTATAAAATAGAAACTTTTTCCAAATATTCTTCACCCTGCAAGGGTGGGATGCCCGGCAATTATTTGTAAAATATTTATTTTACAATTGAATTGAAAAAGTTTCTGCCTGTGGCAGTTTCGCCCAATAAAAAGAATTGGCGTAGAAGGAACAACTTTGGCCCACTAATCAAATGAATGGAAATTAAGCGGACTGCTGCAAAAGAATATTTTCGCTGGCGTGTGCAAAACAATTAAGCTAAAATTGTTATTGCAATTTGAAAACAATTGTCAGATTATGCAAATTCTGTCTGATTGCCTGGAGTATTTTTCCCCCAGTCCCCTTGCGGGCCTCCCCTGTCGCTAACAAGGTAAACAAGCCCGCTCTCGAAAACCCACTTGAGGGGTGGTGATAGCTGCTCAAGGATTTATGGCTCCGCCACCCCCGATGTCCTCGTACTCGTCCTCGTCCTTGTCGTCGAGTGTTTGGCGGAGGTTGGTAAAAGTTTTCGAGTGCGTCGGCAGCTTCAGCTTGGTGCCGACGTTGTCAACTGCAAGGCGACTGCAATTTGCATAAAAATTCATTGGCTTGGCGGCAAGTTGGCAGGCAAGGTAGGAAAAGAAAACGCTAAGAGAATTATCCCGAGGATAACAAAATGTTAATGCCACTCTAGGAATATTTTTTGGGGAATTTAAATACCAGCAGAAATGATTATGAGAAGTTTTCATATTTATAGTGGGTTTTATTTCATCTCATAAAAAGCGGTAAAGTATTAAAGAATTTAAATAATTAGAGAAGAAAAGGAAATGGTCTTAGATAGTGTATGAAGTTTATAATTATAGTATATATAGTAAAATCTTGAAAGTATCTTTTAGTTTAACTAATCTTTACTAATCTATATTAGAACCTTTTTAGTTATGACCTCGATATAGTAGGAGTGTGTTTAGGTCATTTTCACTTTATATTTATTTTAAACACTTTCGGTTGCATGTTCTTAGATATTTTTTCTTTTTATTTCTTTAAGTTACACCTATTAAATTCAATCATTTATATATATATCTATCTTTGATATATACATTCATAGAGCCAACCCTGACCTCCTCTGATAAAGGCACTCCATCTAATTGGTTCTGCCTTCAGGGTGTGGTGACAAATGCTTTTAGAGTAGTTATTGACGGGCCTCTATATCCAACCAAACACCACCGCTTAGATGGGCGACTATTAAAGCGGGATCAAACAGGTTATCCTTGCGGGTCTTGGAGTTAACTTTGACATTGAACTTGCTTATAAGCTCCACAATACAGGCCTTAACTTGAGCTGTGGCAAATCGCATACCTATTAAAGTAATACAAATAGTTAATAAACATAATGTCTATAAAATTTAGTATTTTTACTGACCTAAGCACATGCGAGGACCATCGCCGAAGGCCATGAACACACCACTTTCGCGGAATTTTTTAGCGGCATCCGGATCCATGAAACGATCAGGATTATAGGCAAACGGATCCGGGAAGTACTCTTCGTCCATCATGTGGCAGTAGTGGGGTATCACCAGGACAGTTCCTTTTTCCACAGTGAATTTGGGGCCATCCTTGTTGGGCAGCTCTATGGGCTCAGTGCAGAGTTTGGAGGTCATAAAGCCAGGTGGGAATAAGCGTATAGATTCTAAGGATCAAACGAAATAGAGTATAAACTATATGCATTTCCCATTATAATGTTTCCTCACCATTTAGGCAAGCATCCAGGTATGGCAAATCGTTTAGCTTCTCGAAAGGTATGTGTCCATCCTTCATGTGAGCTAGAATCTCCTCTCTCAGGCGCTCCTGCACAACCTCATTGCGTCCCAGGGACAAAAGCATATGTGATATTACACCAGCCACCGTTTCGAGGCCATCCAGGAGAAAGACCATGGTGTGGGCCAAGAGGTGACGCGTATCCAGGTTCCTCTTCTCTCCCAGTTGCATTAGATAATCCAGGAAGTCGGCACGATGGAAATCACCTGTTGCCAGTTGTGCTTTTCGGGATCGCACCGCTGTGCCCATTAATCCGGTGAAGAATTCCTCCACATGGCGAGGTATAAAACGAAGTTTGATCAGATGGCTCAGAGAGGGAAAAGTGTTGACCAGTGCGAAGAGAACCATGAAGCTCCAGTGGGGATTCAATAGGTCCTTAACGTGGGCCATAACAGGCGTCGGTTTCTCCGAGAAACTTTCCGAGCTAAGACCCAAAACGCAATCGGTGACCATTTCGGAGGTGAAGCGGAGGGTTAACTGTAGAGAAATATCATAAATTAAAATCTAAAAGATATATTAAAGTAATGAACTTACATCCTTTGCGTTAATACCCTCGGGAGATCCCAAACGTATTTGATTTTTCAGCCACTCACTCATTTGTTGGCACACCTTGTTCGTCACTGGATAGACTGACTTTATCTATTATTTTCAATAAGTTTTTAGTTACAATCTTAGAGATAGTGATTTATTTTAATCTGCTTACCCGTACGCTGGTCAGACCAGGGGAAATATCAGCCCTTCGTTGTTTCCACTTATCGTCATTAAGAGAGAAAGGATTATTTGAAATAAGGAAGTCAGTTTTTTCATCGGTCAGCCTGGATAAAGCGTTTTCGTGGAAGTTCTTGAAATTTGTCACAAAAACATGATGAGCCAGCTCTGGACTAACTACTAAGAGTTGAGGCACACGTCCACTAAAAATGCCCACCGCATCGTATTTGTTTTTATATTCCCTTTAAAAGAGTTTTTAATTAAACACAATTCCTGTTCAAAGCTCTAGAAATACTTACTTATATATATCGTTGAGATCGTAAATCATATTCCTCTTCATTGTGTACAGGTTGGGATAGTTCCCGGTAAAGATCTTGGGCTTGGGACCCGGCACTCGACGATTTCTCCAATAGCTAAAGTTCCAGATCATGGAAAGGTAGAGAAGACCGGCCACAGTGAGGCCCAAGGCCAAGGTAATCAGAATCATCTTCTTCCAGGTGGATCGATCTCCGTTCGTTTGCTGTGAATTACGAAGACCGACTGTAGAAAGTTTCGGCAAACGCTCCCTACTTATACTTGCTTCTAACTTGCCCTAGGTCAGGGAAAAAAGCTTTCAAATTAACACTAAAGATAAGAAACCAATACTATAATCAAGAATATGTAATTAAGCTATTGAGAACTCATGTACTTTGTAGCTTTTAAGACATGGTAACGTAAGTAATGGTATTAAATTCTTGAGGATTTCCCCATATGATTAAATTTTATTTTCTCTTATCAAAAATGTTTGCGTTGGCCTTTAGATAATCCAAGAAAAGACGTAAAACAACAATTTCACAAACAAAAGCTTAAAGCTTTTTGTAGAGGCAGCAATGTTGTGAAAATCGATGGTCAAAGATCGACCAAATTGGGCATCTTCAGATATTGGGAGTGTGTGAATTTGTTGTGTTTCTTGAAACAAATATAAACTATATATCGATTAAGTTGTCTAAGCTTCTTTAAAGCATTACACATAAGCTTCATATTCAACTATTTGTTGCTAATATGAATAATTTATTTAAACAGTTTTTAGTATATGGAACACAGTATATATTAAACTATCAAGAAATTTTAGTTATTAACAATTCATATTAATATTGCTTAAAATTTATTTTCAGGTCAACGGCAGAATTGGATCTCATTATTGGGATAAGGAAATTGATTGAATCGATCAAAAACTGAACGACCAATTTATAAAACCTATAAAGTTACTTTATGATACGGAGAGTTATTTAAATTTTTAATGCACCTAATAAAAAATCGAAAACTCTGTTCGTCCGTTGCTTTTCAAGTAGTTTTTAACTAAATTAATTTGTAGAAATGTACATTGATGTTGTGCAGATATTAACATACTTCTAAATTCACTTTATTTTTATAATTTATATATTTTTTTTCATTTGGATTTTTTGTAAGATGTATTTTGTACAGTTCACAGGTTTGTATGTAATAACATTAATGGATTTTAAATTGTATGACCCTTGTGGACAAGTATTATAATTTTTTAATGCTGTCGATTTTAATTTTTAATTTTAAGATGCATTTACATAAATATAGTACTTGAATACATATTTAAAAGAGTTATCTTATTTAATTCTGTTGTTATTTTATTTAATTTGTACCTAGTTACTCAGCTAAATCATTAAAAAGGTCTATAGGTTCTTTTCTCTGAATAATTATATAGCTGTATTCTTTGATATAAATCACAATAATAAATTACAAATCACTAAAAGCATTTATGTAAAAACAACTTTCAATTAAAGAACAGACATTAATTTGGTCGGATCAGAAAAATCCATAGCAATAATCTGCCCCTGTTAAAGGGGATCTTTTACAATGTTTTGACGTAATGACTAAAGATTAAATGGCATTTATTGACGGGCCTCCAAATCCAACCAAATACCTCCGTTTAGGTTGGCCAGGAACAGGGAAGGATCGTACAAGTTGTCCTTACGGGTTTTGGGATTAACCTTGATATTGAACTGGCTAATAAGCTCCACGATGGCGGCCTTAATTTGACATTGGGCAAAACGCATACCTTTCGGGGTAGAAATGATAAGAATATTGATTAAAAATCAAAGTATATTGACTCACCTAAGCAAATACGCGGACCATCTCCAAATCCCATGAATATACCACGTTCCCGGAATGTTTTGGCGGCATCTGGTTCCATGAAGCGTTCAGGTTTGAAGGTCAGCGGATCGGGAAAGTACTCTTCATCCATCATGTGACAGGCATGGGGAATCACGATGACGGTCCCCTTATCCACAGTGAAATTGGGGCCATCCTTGTTTGGTAGCTCTATAGATTCGGTGCAGAGTTTGGAGGTCATAAAACCAGGTGGGAATAAGCGTATAGATTCTAAGGATTAAGCAAAAGGGTCAATATGTATTACATATCCAATCGGTATCATGATGTTCTTACCATTCAGGCAGGCATCCAAGTATGGCAGATCGTTGAGCTTATCATAGGGAATACTTCCTTCCCGAATATGAGGCAGAATCTCCTCCCTGAGGTGCTGCTGCACCACCTCATCGCGACCCAGCAACAAAAGCATGTGAGACAGGACAGCGGCCACCGTTTCGAAGCCATCCAAGAGGAAGGTCATGGTATGGGCCAACAGATGACGTGTGCCCAGGTTCCTCTTCTCACCCAACTGCAAAAGATAATCCAGGAAGTCCGTTCGCTGGAAATTTCCTGTGGCCTGTTGGGATTTTCGTGATTTCACCGCCGTACCCATCAGATTGACAAAGAAACGCTCCACATGATGGGGCACCATGCGCAGCTTGATCAGGTGTCCCAGAGAGGGAAAGGTGTTGACCAGAGCGAAGAGAAGCACGAAGCTCCAGTTCGGGCTGAAGAGGTCATTGATGTGAGCCATTATGGGTGTAGGCTTCTCCGAGAAACTTTCGGCACTCAAACCCAAAACGCAATCGGTGACCATTTCGGTGGTGAAGCGGAGGGTCAACTGTGGATATATTAAACATATTTTGGATAACTAATATATTACATACAACTGAATACGTACATCCTTTGCATGAAGTCCCTCGCGTGAGCCCAAACGTATTTGCTTTTTCACCCACTCAGTCATTTGCTGGCACACCTTGTTCGTCACTGGATAGACTGACTTTATCTGTTTGTTAAATAATGGCTAATTAGTTACTATCTGACAGATATCATATCGATTAATTATACAACTTACCCTACTGTTGGTCAGTCCAGGCGTTATATCAGCCCTGCGTTGTTTCCACTTTTCGCCCGTGAGGGAAAACGGATTGTTGGATAGAATGAAGTCGCTCTTTTCGTCGGTCAGCTTGGACAATTCATTGTCATGAAAGTTCTTGAAATTTGTCAAAAAAACACGATGAGCTAGCTCTGGACTAACTACTAAGAGTTGAGGCACACGTCCACTAAAAATGCCCACCGCATCATACTTGTTCTTGTATTCCCTTTAAAAGAGTTTTAATTTAAAAACAATTCCTCTTCAAAGCTCTCTTACTCACTTATATATATCGTTAAGATCGTAAATCATATTTCGCTTCATTGTGTACAGGTTGGGATAGTTTCCAGTGAAGATCTTGGGCTTGGGACCCGGCACTCGACGCTTTCTCCAATAGCTGAAGTTCCAGATCATGGAAAGGTAGAGAAGAGCGGCCACAGTGAGGCCCAAGGCCAAGGTAATCAGAATCATCTTCTTCCAGGTGGATCGTCCGCTGCGAATTCTGAATAGCGTTTGTTGGAAGCTTCGGATTTGCGTTCTATTTGTAGTCGCCGCGAACTGTTTAGTTCTTTTAGGTCAGAAAAAAGCTTGCAATAAACAAACAATAAAATATTCGTGGGGGAAAAATTACAGTATGCATTCAATAGATGGAGTAGTATAGAAATCTAACAAGATTTATGCCCTTAAGAGCAGAACGAAAAATTGCAAATAATTTAATATTTTGCATTAATATGAATTAACAGATAAACACCGCATGATAGCCTTAAAAAATACATACATATTTTATTCGTTGCACTTGCAGAAGTCCACCTGTAGTTTCTAACAAACACACCTGAATATGAGAGCGTAAAGCTCTTCAATGAAGCTCTGTGGTACCGGCAAACAGTTAATTGAGCGGTGAGCTTCTCACTTCTTATCAACTCGATCGAATGGTTATTTTTTTTATAATCTTTGTTATCAACAAAGGTTTGCTGTCGAAATCTGGCAAATCTTAACGAAATTCATTCACGAATATCACAAACTAAAGTTTTAAGCTTTCGACAAAGAGAGGAACATCGGTTCTAAGAGATCGAGAAAGCTTACCATCTTTAATTTTAGGCACAATAAAAAGCTTTGATTTTGTAAGTAATTAAATTTGGGTTTCACTTTAAGTCTAAAATGCAACGCTTATAAATATATTAAAGTTCTTTTAGTTTACCAGTTCTATAGTTCTTTAATTGACCATATATAAAAACAGCAATAAATGCTTAGCAACAAATAATAAACTAATAATATAATAACTTTAATAACTTTGTAGTTTGAGATACGTTTTACCTTGTTGTGTCTATTACTGCAATATATTACAATATTATTTATATATTTACTTTAAAACATTATTATTTACACCTTTAAAGTGACTTCAAATATTATACCTTTAACATTCTAAATATATTTCTTTTAAAGTTTTTAAACTTGCTTTAAGTTGTTTTAAACTATAATACCATATTTTTCAGTTCCTTTTACTGCATACCTTTAGAATCCGTTTTTAAAGAATTATATAAATTACAAACATAACATCATAAAACACAAATAAATAAAAGAAATTATACATTAAGGAAATTTTTAATTGACTGTACTGCATATTGAATACTTAAAAAATAATCCCTTGCATTACTCCTATATAATTATTTTTCACATCAAGAAGGAACTTTGACGACCTTAATTCAAATCGAACGTTTCAATTAGGTTCAGTGGGGCGATGAGCTGCTGCTGGTGTGGACAGGTGCTGCAGCGACGAAGGACGCTTTGGCAAAAAGCATAATGACCAGAATCACAACATGTGCCACCCGCCGCCCCCTACATTTCCGTTTTCGTTAACAAAGTGCCATTGTGTGGCACGAACAGCGGCAACAATAATGGCCAAGTCAAGGGACAGCGGCCAAAATGGCGCACACGCTGCGCTTTACAAGCAAAAACTAGTTGGTTTTTTTTTGGTGTTGTTGGCCAAGGAGTGGACAGCAAACATCCGCCCCAACTTGCCAACACACCCCCTTTCCTGACTTCCGCAATGCGTGTGTATTTTTCGGTCAGTTTTGTAATTGAATCACGTTTTGTATTAAATAAACTTTTCAAATTATCGAAAAATTGACTTGCACTACAAACGCCGTCCTGCCTAGTTTAATTTACTTGTGTGTGCGTGCCCCGTTCATGCCAATACACATACAGGCCCAGAGTGTGCGTGTGTTTTGGCCATTAACATAAAAAAGCGACCTAACTTAAAGTGCTCCCGCTCTCATTCACAGTATTTTTTGGTTGGTTTTTTATGCAAAACACTTGACAGCCTCATTAGTATTGAAACGGTCAAAGTTTTTTCAACCCCTCGTCCTTTCTGCCCCACGAATGTGGCCCTCCTGTTCGCGCATTGACGCGTTCCCACATAAGTATAGTAAGAGTGTGAGTAAAAGTAGTTATAGGGATGAAAAATGCTTATATCGAAAATATCGATAATATATCGAAAGTTTAAATTTTATATTTATTACAATATGAGGATATTGTATTTAAAAATTAGTGGTTGTTCTTATTATATGAACGAGAGATAAGGAATATTATATGTTATCGAAATCTACATATATAAAACTTATCTAATATATATATTGATCATTTTCAACATATATATTTTATATTAATATATTTATTATATTTAATAAGGCACTTTTTAAAAGTAAAATTCAAATATTGTAATTAGTATAATTAGGTTTTCGATTTCCACATCTCTAATTGGGCGTGGAAAACGGAATAATTTCAACTTTTACAGAGTTTTTCCCAGCCTTGGACATTCATGGGTGTGTTTGTGTGGGTGCATTTATTATCATTTTGGTTGTAACCGTAATTCCATTGTTTGCGCATAATTGAGATAAAATGAGTTAACAAACAAATGGATTCATTTTTGTGATCACGTGCGGCCAAGGATGACCCGTGCACTTGCTCACTTATTGGGCGCACAGACTGATGTATGTACGTGGTTCAGTTGGCAACAACAACAACATACCGCAAAAAGCCACAACAACAACAAGAAATGTTGGTAATACACAACAATACAACGTCCGAATTCTTTTCATAACATATTTTGCATGCAACGCTTGCGTGTCCGGCAAAGCTTGGCGCCATCATTTTCACCCATGCAATGGGTCCCTGTATCCAGGACCTCAAATATGTATATATATATATATACATATATATATATACACTTGTAAGCCACTCCCGCACACACACACACACACTGGCACACACACTCGCGGGGCAACTTGTTTTCGCGCCATTTGCACGCGTCATGAATTTTTCATAAACATTTAAAGGGGATTTCATTACAGCTCTCGCACACATGCAAACAACAGCCAGTCCATATACAGCGATATATATTTAAATCGTTCGACTTGCTCTTCCTGAAAATTTTAAATAGTCAACCATCAATAAGTGGAATTTTGATTGACTGTAAGGTAAGTGTGAGTTTCAATTGAAATTTGTACAATTTTAACTGGTTTAAAGTTCCATAATTTAAGAAACTTTATTCACAAAGTTAAAACGACAGTAAAAGACTTAAAAAACATTATTTAAACTTATTAATAATCTATTTTAAAGTGTTTTTTAACTTTATGTAAAACGTTTTTCAGGTGTTTTAAGGTCCGACTAAAAAGTGCTGAAAAGTATGCTATGGAAACTAATCAATACAATTTGAAGAACTTGAAATGGATTATATTATATATTTATTTTATTTATATATTTTGAATAAAGTAAGAACTTATAAGACAACTTTATTTGCATTTTCCAAGTTTTAGTTAAAATTACGGATGTCCCTCTGTATTTGTATAAAGCTCGGTCTCTCTTCAAGTAGCATGTAAATTAAAAATTGAATTCTGTTCACAACATGCGTTTTGCCAACAAGCGAAAGCCATGCTATTGTTGTTGTTGTTATTGCTGTTTGCCATTGATGCATCATCGTCCTTCGTTCTTCGTCCTTGGTCCTTGGTCCTGCCACAACCTGACGTATGCTTACAAAAGACAAATATGTACAAATAAGCCGAGCGGAGTTTATAAGTGCGGTTTTCGAGCAGCAATTGCCGCTTCCGAGGCGGAATCGCTGGCAGTTAAATTTGCACGACCTCCAATGAGATTATTTTTAAGCCATTAAGTAATTAACGTAGAGCGATTTTTCAGTTTGCAAACGAGAAGTTGTATAATTTTAAACTGCTGTTACTTCAGCAATTATATTTTGGTTTACTTGTTGGGCTTTCGAGGTTTAATATTAACTTACAGCTTATTTATTTAGCAATATGTTCCCTTCGATTATATTCATTGATTGCAATCTAAGTAATGGCTTTTGTTTTCTCATTTTCATTATTCGTTGAGCGTGAACTGAATCTATTTAGCCAAAAAATTTTGTTTAAGTTAATTAAGAAATTATAAGCTGTGCGAAAATTGGCCATGCCAGAGTATAAATAAAATTACAATTCAGTTTTCAGCTTAATATGCAATTTGCATAATATATATATTGTATAATATGGTGTACATTAACTGCAGCGTGTGTGTGTTTGGGTGTTAACGAAAAAGAGTTGCCCTTGACAATTTTCACATCATCGCTGACATGCGGTTCCCGGCGGTGCAGCAGGTCACGCCGACTGACATATCGTGACAGGACTTTGGACGCAGTCCATCCGGAGGATGGCCCCATGGAACATGCGATATTTAAGTGCACACCTAGGAAAAAAATGTATAAAGCATAAAGTAAAGTATGAATCCTTAAAATACATAGGATTCAAAAAGTGACCAAAACTAGAGGAATAAAAGAAAAGAGTTGAAATGGATTTTGACATTGTTTTAAAATAACAATAAGTTTATGTAATATTTAATATTAAAGTTCATAATTCTGAAGATATTTTTTACCCTTAAAAGAAAATTAAATATTTCAGTATTTATATAAATTAACTTCAGGCACAATAACTATGTCTACTTAAGCTTTTTTCCTTTTCAACAAATTTCTTTTTCGGTGCATAAGTATTACGAGTGCATAAATATTTTTGTAAACATTAATAACTTAAAACTGGAATTACTTAAATATTTAAATACACATTTTTACATTTCGTTTGTGATGTCCAAGGCAGAGGGGAAGGCAATTAGTGAATATCTTTTGACTATTACTTCCGCGTCAGCTTCTCACTAATGCACTTACATCAAATTTTAATGATTATCCTTGGCACTTGGCAAAATCTTTTTATCAACCCCGAGCACACACAACCTGAGTCATCTTTTAATTACCATCACGTGGCTCCACAAATATTTAACTGCCTTGGGTGAAAATGCAAATATTTCTTTCGGTTCCTCTCCTCCTGTGTCCTGTGTCTGTCACCCAAGATCTTTGGCTGAAAAGTACCCCCAATTTGCAGTTACGAGCCCGTGAAAGTGACTCTCTCTTCCGTCCCGTTTCATTAAAAATAATATCTTAACCTTTCGCCACGTGAAACTATCATCCCAACCCCCGCTGGCTGGTGAATTAAGCGAAATTAGTGGACGCCGGCAGGGGGGAGGCACATTAAATGGGTTTAGCAAATACTCTACGCACATCAAACTCGGCTTTTGGCCAAAACTCCATGGTTGCCTGGCTGCCTGGCTGCCTCTGACATTATTCATATTTCATGGTCCCCAACGATGGCTGCTGACTGCGACACAAAAAGCGAGGAGAGAACTCAAGTTGCCAAGTACAACAATTATGGTTTCACTCTATTTGCCCAGCACAAGCACGGGTTTCAGTTCAAAGAGGATTGTGGGTGGGTGGGTACTGTCATTGGGGTTGGAATTGAGGCTGTGACTGGAAGGGGATTCCCCCCAGTTTATAGAGGTGTGTTTGTGCTAGCGATTAGCCTGACGTGTGCATAAAAGCCAGCCTGACATTATAATGCCTTTAGTTTTTATGGCCAGCCAGCGAGGCGTGGGTTTGGTGGCATCTGAGTTCGGTTTGGGTTATGGCAAGACCTCTGCCAACATGCACAATTCTTGCATATTTATGCACTTTTAATTGTGTGTTTGTTTGCACGCGTTTGTGTGCTAATTATTGTCTGTTAGCTGGCGCATATGGGTTTTAATTAGCGGGGCGTTTCACAGATGGCTCCAAATGGGTGGCAAATTAGGTGCTTTATACGAAGAGAGGAACATTGATTTTGGTTCTTTGATATTTTTTGGCTAATTTAGTGGGTTGGTAATATATTCTGGTGGTTTTTTATGAACTCAAACTGAATAATAGCTTGTAATTTCTAAACAAATCTAGTAAAATCCCTCAAGCAATGATATCTAAATGTATGGAAATTCCTGCAAATATTTAAATTATTAATTTAAATTACTATGAGGAAATAAGTAAGTATGTACAAGGGAAATATTGTATTTATATATATTTGTTTATTATTTTTTACAACCGCTATGAGTTGTCTTATGCCAGCTTGTAGTTACAGTTGACAGGCAAAATTTAATTAAAACCATATGTCCATCCTGTGTCAATCTATACCTAAACAACCCAGCTTAAGTTCTGCTTTTTTTATTATCCCCAACACAAATATGCAATATAAGTTTCACAATTTCTGCATTTCATGTTTATTTCGAAATTTAAAGCTGCAAAACTCAACCTCTGACCACAAGAGTCACCCAAACTACTCATATGTACATATATTTATATATAAATTTTTTGATATATACACAAAACTATTTGGGGTTGGCTCTGCTCTCCAATTTCACAGACATACGCATATCAGAAACACATATTGAAATGTAATATACAAAATGTAACTAAAATGTTTTGAAAGATAGCCAAAAACACAAAAATACAAAGGATCCAGCCACACCAGCAGATGGAAACGAAAGGATGAGTTCGAAAGGAAGTGGATGCTGCATTTATTTCATCGTCTAAATGGAGTGCAACGAATGGGGCTGGGCCCGATGCCATTTGTTAAGTGCAAGTTCAATAGCATTAAGAGTGCAACACAAATAACCATAAATTCGGAAAAGCTGCAAATTTTGCATATTTTTGCAAGTCGCCCTCGCCCTGAAAGGAGAATAGAGTTAGAGGTGCACCGAGAAATGCAAATTGAAGAAGGAATTTATTTAATTTTAGATTTATTGACATTTGTGTTTAAACTATAGGGAAAATGTGAAAGGAATTTCATGTTGAATGTATTATTAAGTAAAGCAAATAATATAATCATAATAATAATTGTATATCTTTATCTGCTGCTTTTGATGGAGAAAATAAAATATAAGAGGCTATTCTATAGCTTAGTTTTTGATCCACAATCAAAGTACATAGTTTAAAGATTATTTTTAGTGTAGTGCAGCCTGTGATTGGTAAGCCAAAAAAATATAAAAAATTGCGTTTACCCAACGCTGGGCAGTTGGAGTGGCATTTGTGTTTGCCAATGCCCGTTTTCAAATAGATTACGTATACGCCCGGTGGGCACTGCGTTCAATGCTCTTTTTCGTGTGATATATTGGGGCGCCTCGATGTCCACGGCATCGGCCAGTCAAGGAATTTCTAGCCGACTTCCTTAAGTTATTTCAATATTTACACTCGTGTAACATATGGCCAAATGTATGTAGGAGGTGGCATGGTGGCACTGGCGGCAGTGGCACGATAAATGGCCAGGCCAACCACAATGATTTACTGCCCCAGTCTCAGGATATATATACATATATATATATATGGAACATGTATGTATATACCGGTGGGAGGATGTAAACGCACCTTTTGTGTGGCAAAATGTTGCTATATTTCTATTTTCTACTCAAAACCGCATTTATATTTATTACTTTGGCATAAATCTTGTCGCATTTTCACATTTGTGTCGAATTTGTCGAGTTCGCATGTGTTTATGTATTCACATAAGAGCAGTAGCAGTAGCAGGAGCAGGAGCAGGAGCAGTAGCTCCTGACAAGGAGCTCCTCCCCATTGCTATCGGCACGTTCACAGTTTTTGCCATTATTCCTCGTAAAGGTAAACAATAAACTGACCCGCAAGTTCGGGTCAACGGGCAAACGTCTGCACCTGATGTGAGTTTCCCCTCAGTTCAGAGGGAGGGGAAAGTGCGAAATATATGGCGTGTTTTCCCTTCGTTATTGTACACGAAATGAAGTGTACATAATTTGGCATCGCACATTGAGTTGCATAAATTTAGTACGGTGTCCCAATAAAACCATTGTAGTTGTCAAATACAACAAAAAGAGAGGGCGGTTGTGTGGAATTTTTATGTAGCTCAGGAAAGGGATGGTCAATGGGAAAGAAGTCCAGTGAATGAGAAGCACTAAATATTGCTGTCGACATTTTCTCCAGGTAATTGTTTTCTTTATGGTTGGATTTACCACATAATAGTGAGTTCGATTTAAGACAAGACTCTCGGTTATTGGTAATACATTTTGGACTATTTAATTAACTTATTTATATATTTATTGGTTTGCAGGGTACTTGATGTGTGTTATAAATAATTTGTATTTTTATTAATTATTATATTTTTATCCAATTAGAGAGAAAGCAATTTTGTATAATTTCAGAATTTCGGTTTTAATCTGACGAAAATCGAAGAGCTTTATCATATAGCCAATGGAATGATCGGAAAAGTTGTAGAGACCAAGCAAAATTATAACTTTGCCGATTTTATTTACCGTAATATGTGAAAACATTATTATTATTCCAGAATATCGTATTTAACGATCGGGAAATTAATTGTAATATACATTTAAACTAATTCCATATTTATTTACTATTTTCTATGAACAACTATGAAAAATAAGTTTTAGTGCCAGGTAATTGCATAGTATTCCCAAGTTTTAGCCGAAACGTAGAGCTTTATGAAATGCTTCAGCTTCCTCTCCCTCTCTCCCTCTCATGCCAACAAGCCGAAGCATCGCCGGCTTCCATTATCACTGAGCGACCTCTCCCGCAGCTTCTCCCTCTCACCACTGCAAATCAGTTCCTTCCACGTCAGCGGCCGAATCGGACGAAAAAAAATTAAAGATATCTCCATGCAATTAGATCAGTGAAAAGCTTACGACGCAATAGCAAAGACAGGTGCCAAAAGTTTAAGCTAAATTAAAGTGCAGTAAAGTATTAGTGAAGAAGTGGCAGAGCCGAGAACAGCCTTTGTTTTAAATCAATTAACCAACGGCTAATGTGAAAAGGATAACTTAATTGGCCTCACAAGGGAAGCCAGGCCCCAGTCGCGTTTTATTCTTAAAAAGCCAAGCAAAAGGCATAATTTATGACTAATTAATATTGTTTTATTTTTGGCAAAGACAATGTTTAATACCTTCAATTACATAAGAAGGTTTTTTGTTGTAGTGGACAACATACAAGAATCGGCAGCAGCAACTAATGCATGTGGGTGAGTGAAATAGATGTATTTTTTTCTTGCTCTTGGCTATGTCTCTGCCCATGCAAGCTTATACTCCCCTCTCCTCTCCCCGCATATCAGTTTCTTAATCGACCTGTAAAATGGAACATAAGCGCCACTCAATGAATAGGATCCATTGCAAATCAGTTTCTCACACGATAGCGGCCGAAGCGGAGGAAAAAAATATTAAGCACATCTCCACGCAATTAGATCGGTAAAAAAGTTACAACGCAACAACAAAGACAGGTGCCAAAAGGTTAGTGAAATTAAGGGAATTAAACTATTAGTGTCGTAAATCAATTAAATCATGAGGAAAGTGAGAAGTAGAAGTTAGTTGGCCCAACAAGGAGGCCAGACCCCTGTCTCTTTTAATTCTTACACAGCCAAGATCAAAGCGTAATTTATGACTAATTAATATTGTTTTTCTTTTTAAATAGATGGATTCTTATTGTACGATGCCCACTAATACACCTTTGGCATAAAATCGGCAGCAGCAACTAATATATGTGGGTGAGTGAAATAGATGTATTTTTTTTCTTGCTTTTGGCTATGTCTCTATGCCCATGCAAGCTAATATTCCCCCTCTTCTCTCCCCGCATAACAGTTTCTTAACCGACCTGTAAAATGGAACATAAGCGCCACTCAATGAATAGGATCCATTGCAAATCAGTTTCTCACACGAAAGCGGCCGAAGCGGAGGAAAAAAATATTAAGCACATCTCCACGCAATTAGATCGGTGAAAAAGTTACAACGCAACAACAAAGACAGGAGCCAAAAGGTTAGTAAAATTAAAGGAATTAAACTATTAAATCAAGAGTAAAGTGAGAAGTAGAAGTTAGTTGGCCCAACAAGGAGGCCAGACCCCTGTCTCTTTTAATTCTTACACAGCCAAGATCAAAGCGTAATTTATGACTAATTAATATTGTTTTTCTTTTTAAATAGATGGATTCTTATTGTACGATGCCCACTTATACACCTTTGGCATAAAATCGGCAGCAGCAACTAATATATGTGGGTGAGTGAAATAGATGTATTTTTTTTCTTGCTTTTGGCTATGTCTCTATGCCCATGCAAGCTAATATTCCCCCTCTTCTCTCCCCACATAACAGTTTCTTAACCGACCTGTAAAATGGAACATAAGCGCCACTCAATGAATAGGATCCATTGCAAATCAGTTTCTCACACGAAAGCGGCCGAAGCGGAGGAAA